CTTCCACTTAACCCTTCATGCACATGATGCCTTTCGGAAAAGTGCTTCAAATGGTGAAAGAAAATGCAGCGAAGTGTTACGTGGCTGAAAAGAAGTGGAAGCCTAATCATTATAATAGAAGAATGTATAACACATGAAGACAATTCCATGTGAAAATTTCAAGGCCCATATGAGGTATTAACAAAGGATATCAAGTTCTAGTGTATTTTATTCATTATTCGATCCTGCAGGAGGGAACGTCGTAGGTCTTGGCAACACGGGTCCGTTGGACCCAGGCTTGGAGGAGAGGGCATCTGCTGTCTTTGGTGGTGCACGGACCTGTTTTACATTCCATTTATCTTCATTTGTTTATAGCAAAAAACAATGAACCAATGTTACGAACAACCCTGTTGCAGGATAAGCGTGTAAATAAATGTGATTTGCAACTTCGAAACAAATAATGTCCTATATACAGCAAAAAGTCCAATCCAATGACAACAAGTGGCTATTCCCAATCAAAAGCCCCGATGTCAGGGATCAACTGTGGGCTGTCCAGAGGGCCCACGATCAGTGGTTGGGCTTGGCCTGACTGTCCCAACGTGAAAGTGGCTCGCTGCGCATTGAGTCGTGCACCTCGGGACTTACAGTAAGGGTCGCATCCATTCATCCAAGATTAATGCATTAATCCATCCACTGCTCCCGAAAGCACACCACGTGTTTTGTCACTCAAATGCTCCAAATCTTTAGACTTCACTCAGATACATTGCCTGTTGAAGCATTTCAAGATCATGGTTTCTTGTCATGTACACTGCCAGAAACTATATTATAAAGCAGACAAAGACACAGAATTTCAATGAAGTTCTGAGGGACTTTTTTTTTTCACATTGCTAAGAAGGTACCTATTTTCGTATTGTACTTTGAAGGACCATCAGAAGTGATTTTTTATTGGATCCATGTGGTATCAGAGTTTGAACAATAGGTAATCAAGAGGGATTGTTTTTTTTACTTATTTGTGTAAATTTATTTTCACTTCTTATGGTGCACTCATATAGCAAAAATTTTTCTGCTAGCCACATGCAAGGACCACAGGAATTTATTTTACAGCCAAAGCTGTTATGAGATCACTTTTCGGGTCAAGTGCAGTTGATGTTGTTTTCCGCCGGCGTCCGTAACCACATCGCGTGAAAATAGAAAAGGAACCTTGCACCAATGACGCAGTGGAGCTTGAACCCGGGTCCACTGGGTGCCAGCACAATATTCTACCACTAAGTTATGCCGGTGCTTGTAACTTGTTGTCAAACTTGCCTTAGGCAGGCCTAACCTAACACCAATGGCACAGTAGGGCTCTAATCTGGGTCTGCTGGGTGCCAGCCCAGTATTCTACCACTGAGCTACACCGGTGCTTGTGACTTCTTGTCAAACTTGCCTTAGGCAGGCTTGATGTTGGGAAACCAATCGTGTTAACATGACTTATAAAGCATTTCACAACAGTGAAAGTACAACCAATCATCGCACAATGCGAATAGCATAACAAGTGGGCCGTCCAATGTTCCAAACCATCACAAAAGCTTTTTCTTGTTCTCCTATTAACTGTTCAGCCACTTCAGCCGTAAGTTTTCATCGTTGCTAGCTACTGCATAGAAAATTGGCACAAAATTCTTTGCAAGTGTTTAGTGGATACCACGCTTCTCAGAGGAATGACGAAAAATAGCATAGCGAATGCCGACTTACTACCCAAAAGTTCATTATTAATGCCCTAGTGGGTACCAAGCAACTGTGCTTGCAATAGTTACTCAATGAGTGTTTTGAAAAGGCTCTGAAAGGCCGCTCTTCTAGCTTTCGCTGTGACTGTGCGGCATCTACCGCCCAGGCCTGGCATTTTTTTTTAAGAGTGCACATGTACAAATTTGTTGAAACTCAAATAGCACACAAATGTTCACCTGAGAGATTGATGAGAGTGGAAACTTTTGAGACTCAGTGCTGAAAATCTTTTGAAATAGCGTCTCTATAGTAAGACTGACAGACAGAATTTGTTATTGTACTTCTAAGCTAATCCTGTTTCTCAGTGTAATATCACTTTCAAAAGTCTAAAGAAAATAATATTCACAAGATTGTTAGGTGATTTTATGAGAAATATAGTGCTATAAAAAAAACAAGCTCTGTTAAAGTGACGAAACTCACGGCCATTCAACACTGTCACGATGTGCGAGCAGCAAAAGCGCTACACTAAAGAAAAAGGAGAGCATGCTTAGCTGAGCAAGTCATATATGGCTTCAGAGTGTGCACAAGGTCAAAAAATCAAATCAATTACTAAAGCAACATTTTCTTTCTTTCATATTGTTTGGACACATTCAGAAATTTGAGGTTCTGAGCCCTGATCGACGCACTTAATTGGCAGGTCGTGCTGTTATGCAACTATGTACTTTATTACAATAAGCACTTTTGTGGAGCTTTGTGTTACTATAGGAAATATAGTGCATTGTGCACAGTATGTTCCAGAAAGAATTTCCCTGTGGTTTTTATGGATGCCCTCTGCGCATCTATCTCTGCAATGTAATTCAGTATTCCGCTGCTGGCATGCTCATAATTGCGCACAGTAGCGTTCTTGCTAAAGTGTGCAGGCTCATTTGTCTGAAAATGAAGCAAACTTCCAGCTGAACATTAACCATTCAAAGCTTTTTTTACAAATTGGTTGTTCAAGAGTGCATTACCCTTTACTGCCTATAATGTAGCGAATTCATGACATACCGAAAAACTTCGAGCAAGCATGTCACAGAATGCATGTCACCGTTAATGCTGGCTGTCAAGTACGTACTCACAGCAAATATGTAGCTTTCAGCATAAAAGATTTAGTGCTATCTTGTGTGGTGTATTTTATGCTAGAAGCTGTGATGGAGTGTGTGAAGCACGTGCAAGAGCGCTCAATCCTTCGTTTGTACTAGCCTGGCTGAGGCAAGTTATATCTTGAATAATTTTGTTTATTTGGCGTGCATGCGCTCAAGACCTGGCACACGACATGTTGCACAGTTCTGAAGTACATTTTTTATTGCAAGACACTTGCTCCTGTGGCATGTGGAGAATTCGCAACATACATAAAATTATGCATTAGAGATAATTCAGTTGTGGAATCAATCATTTAAAAGTTGCTAATTAAAGCAGAAAAGTGAAAAGTTTTCATTTTCTTCGGCAGCATCATAATTCGGGCATTAAAGGGTTGAAGCTGCCAGGGCTATTTCTGACATTCAGGGATACATGCCTTACATGTTATTAAATTGCCGAATAACGCAATTTACTAGAAGTTTGTATTTGAAATCCCATTGTCAAAAGTTGGCTCCATGCAATGATGTTTGCATATGTTTGGTGGTGTCTCCAATATGAGCACTGCTAGTAGGTCGCAGGGACTGAGATGTGCATTGAGAAGTGTGGCCAATCGCATATCTTAATGCAGAGTGGTAAAGTGAATTTTTTTTATTGCCTTAATTTTTTTTTTGTATTGTGCAGCATTGTTCTGATGCAATAAAAAAAATTCTTGGAGTGTCGCATGACCAACGTTTCAACAATTCTTGTCTTGTCACTACAAGTAGTTTTCATATATTGCGGCAGTTTGCGTGCACTTGCAGTTGCAGTGGGGTCGGTGGGGTGCTTATAGTGGCGGTGCCATGCAGTGTGCACAAAGAAAAAAGGGGGAGGGGGGGGGAGCTTATCCAAAACTTATTGCCTAGTACCGCTCCCCATCCACCCAAGAGCAAACATAGCCAAACACAGTGTACTTCGAGGGGGCAGAAATTGTACTTGAAGGAACTCATGCCCCTATTGAAGCACAAAGTAGAGGGGGGAGGGGGTTATAGTTGAAGGAGATCAGCTAATTGACCTAATTTGTCGCAGATAACCCCCCTCCCCCTCAAGTAAAAAAAAAATCCTGGCACTCTCACTGCAAACATTACTTGGTTACCGGATCAATCTGCTGATTAGAATAATCTCAGACAGAATCAACTTGGCCCCAGCGAAGATAAAAGCAGCTGCACGCGGCCAAGTTCCTTTTGGCGTTGCATAATTGGTTTCCAGACTGGAAGAGTCAGTGTTGCCAGACTGCTGCTAAATTTGACTGCAAAGTTTTTTTGTAGTTGTGGCTTTTCCGTGAGAATTTGGTGCCATCCGCGGTGCATTTCGCGAACGAGCGACGCTGGCCGTTTTTATTAACGGAATGAACCGCGCCTAGAGGTAGTCGAGCGTGGTGCTGCTGCGCAATTAAGAGGCCAATTTAATTAACGGAATGAACCGCGCCTAGCAGAAGTCGAGCACGGTGCTGCTTCGCAACGCGCGGTTTATTCCGTAAATAAAATGAATTCTGTAACGCGCGGTTCATTCCGTTAATTAAAACGAATTCGACTTCTCCTAGGCGCGGTTCATTTCGTTAATTAAATTAACCTTCTAATTGCACGGCAGTGCCACGCTCTACTTCTGCTAGGCTCGGTTCATTCCGTTAATTAAAATGAATTCTGTAATGCGCGGTTTATTCCGTTAATTAAAACGAAATGAAAACGGCCTCTTAATTGCACGGCAGCACCACGCTCGACTTCTGCTAGGCTCGGTTTATTCCGTTAATTAAAACGGCCAGCGTCGCTCATGCACTCGCGAAATGCACCGCGGATAGCACCAAACTCTTACAAAGAAGCCACAACTACAGAAAAAATGTTTTGGCCAAATTTAGCGGCAGTCTGGCAACAACCATTTTAAAGTCTGGCAACTAATTTATGCAACGCCAAAAGGAACCTTAACGCTGCACGCTAGCATTGTAGCAGACGATTTCTTCTTAAAACTTGCACTGCGCCACGTTCTAGTTAAACTTTTGAAAGTTTGGTAAAGTGCATAAAAAAGTGGGTATTTTGTGACAAACTACAGAAATGGGTATATTATCTATCAATAAATCTGCTGTCAATTCTTTTTGTGCTTTCGACAATGCCAACATCGCTATCGCCGTAAACATCAGTCGTCAACACAGCCATGTGCGTTTGTTGCAATGTCTGCTGCATTCACTGCGTTGCATAGTGGCATGTAATCGTTGAGAGCAATCGATGTGGGCTTTTGATGACTTGTGTTTTGTATGTCGATTATACTGAAAGCGCTTCTAGATATTGTACCACGTACTACGCATCGGATAGCGTTGCGAGTGCTGTTTCAGTCGCGCCACTGCAACATGTCAAACACGGTGGAACCGGCCGTGGAGGAGTATAGTATCAAAAGTAACGCTCACCGAAAATTTTATGATCTCTCTGATGCTTACGCTGTAGAATCATTTAGTAACAATGTCAAGGCAAAAAAGTTGGTCGGCGACGAGCAGTTCATGGAGTACATCAATTCTAACGTCATCGGGAAGGACGCAACTTTTCTGGGTCCTTACGGTCGTCGAAAAGGTAAGCTTGTCTAACGAGATGAGATGCCTATTTGTCTCACCCTTCGTGCGCTATCTTTTCAGTTGTGTATTGCGACCACACAGCGTCAGGGAGGTCACTCACTTTTATCGAAGACTTCATTCGCAGTGAAGTGTTGCCTATGTATGGAAACACGCACACCACAACATCTGTTACAGCCCTTCAGACTACGATGTTCAGACACGAGGCAAGGTAAGATTAAGTCGATGTTCGTTTCCGGCAAATCAGACCGCATATAAGGGATTAAGTGATGGTGCTTTGTAACCATGTTGTATTGGCTTTCAATTTATCATTTGTAACTGCCTCGTTGTAATCAAGCCATATTTTATTAAAATTGTTTCAAACTTAGCCTTATTATCCACGTTTGTCAACTCAGCAACTTGGTACCTTGAAATTAAAGGGGTGGTGGGACCAAATCTCAGGCTATAAAAATCTTTCTGTAGGCTTCGACTGTATGCAAAGGCACTAGGCACAAATTGTTGGTAGCAGCGAACGATTAGAACGTATCCTAATTCGCTTCTAAAGTGTGGTGAGATGCTCATTCTCGCAATCGAAAGCCATTGCTAGTGCAACTGACACCTACGTGATGTGTTGTTAAAAGCAGTGTCGTTCATACACCATTTCAACATTTCTTGTTTAAAGGCGTGAATTACATAGGGGGGAGGTGCCTTTACCTCCCCCCACTAACTTTTACAGAGAATTTATTATTATATCTCATGATCTCATCTCTTTCAAGAAAAATGACCTCACCGGTTCGGAAGCCCTCGGAATTCTTTTTCGAAGACGCTGTGATTCAAAAGATCTGAAATCGTTCTGGGTGTGCGGAGGCGAAAGACGATGATGAGAACACTGGCGTATGTACAAGAATGCGCCACCATGGATAGCTTGGGAAGCGTGGAAGAAACAGAAGAGCTGCGTACGAGTATGGCGCATGGAGAGGACTGCCACGCGGTTGGCAAAGTGGTGTTCATTCAGGGAGAAGCAGGATGGAAACGGTTTGCCAGCCTCATGGTCGTGGTTTGCCCCGAGTGTCTGGGTGAGGACAAGAGTCGGAGCGGCCTGCTTTGCTTCACCTCAAGTTTCGATGGGCCACGGAGCCAGCGGGAACCTACCGCAGCCACCAGGTCCAATGTAGGGTGTTAGCCCGACTGCTTGGCTTGGCTGTGGCGATATTTAGCAAGAATACAGGAATTTTGGAGAATGTATCCTGCTTTCTTGAGCAGTAGAAAACATGGCAACAAAGAATGAGCAAGCCACAAGTTCGATTGAACTACCTCTTTGATGTACCTGTTCGTTTCCGGCAAATCAGACCGCATATAAGGGATTAAGTGATGGTGCTTTGTAACCATGTTGTATTGGCTTTCAATTTATCATTTGTAACTGCCTCGTTGTAATCAAGCCATATTTTATTAAAATTGTTTCAAACTTAGCCTTATTATCCACGTTTGTCAACTCAGCAACTTGGTACCTTGAAATTAAAGGGGTGGTGGGACCAAATCTCAGGCTATAAAAATCTTTCTGTAGGCTTCGACTGTATGCAAAGGCACTAGGCACAAATTGTTGGTAGCAGCGAACGATTAGAACGTATCCTAATTCGCTTCTAAAGTGTGGTGAGATGCTCATTCTCGCAATCGAAAGCCATTGCTAGTGCAACTGACACCTACGTGATGTGTTGTTAAAAGCAGTGTCGTTCATACACCATTTCAACATTTCTTGTTTAAAGGCGTGAATTACATAGGGGGAGGTGCCTTTACCTCCCCCCACTAACTTTTACAGAGAATTTATTATTATATCTCATGATCTCATCTCTTTCAAGAAAAATGACCTCACCGGTTCGGAAGCCCTCGGAATTCTTTTTCGAAGACGCTGTGATTCAAAAGATCTGAAATCGTTCTGGGTGTGCGGAGGCGAAAGACGATGATGAGAACACTGGCGCATGTACAAGAATGCGCCACCATGGATAGCTTGGGAAGCGTGGAAGAAACAGAAGAGCTGCGTACGAGTATGGCGCATGGAGAGGAGTGCCACGCGGTTGGCAAAGTGGTGTTCATTCAGGGAGAAGCAGGATGGAGGCGGTTTGCCAGCCTCATGGTCGTGGTTTGCCCCGAGTGTCTGGGTGAGGACAAGAGTCGGAGCGGCCTGCTTTGCTTCACCTCAAGTTTCGATGGGCCACGGAGCCAGCGGGAACCTACCGCAGCCACCAGGTCCAATGTAGGGTGTTAGCCCGACTGCTTGGCTTGGCTGTGGCGATATTTAGCAAGAATACAGGAATTTCGGAGAATGTATCCTGCTTTCTTGAGCAGTAGAAAACATGGCAACAAAGAATGAGCAAGCCACAAGTTCGATTGAACTACCTCTTTGATGTACCCTTTGCACAGAAACTTTATTTGTTCTCTTGAATTTAAGATACATTGCAAAAAGTACTCTTCTGGTACTGTATCACAAGTCCAAGTGTTGATTAGCCTCGCCGCGGCGGTTTAGTGGCTAAGGTACTTGGATGCTGACCAGCAGGATGCGGGATTGAATCCTGGCTGTGGCGGCTGTTTTTGATAGGGCGATAGTGCTGTAGGCCCGTGTGCTCTGATTTGGGTGCACGTTAAAGAACCCGAGGTGGTAGAAATTTCCAGAGCCCTCCACTACGGGGTCTCTCATAATCATATGGTGGTTTTGGGACGTTAAAGCCCACATGCTAATCAATATCAAAGTGTTGATTATAACTCATTATTACTCACTTTGACTATAATTGCCTACAAATGCAGCATGGCTTCATTGGTTTAATTAATAAACATTGTTTTGTAGCTCCTGATATACAATTTACGTCGTGTAGTCAAGCAGTACTGAGAATAGTGTTTTGAGAATTATAAACCGGTAGTTATACTCAGTGACAACTTGACAGTCGAGTAAAGTGAAGTGGCTTATCAGATTAACCTTTAATTTCCAGGCAATGGATGCATAAGCTGTTTTTCACGCGATATTCATAACCTACTTCATTTCAATTCAGTGTAACATACCTTTGTTACTGTGCTGTGAATCTTGCCATGTAAAAAGGCACTCCTGAAGAAAATAATAAACACTGCATGGCTTGTCATGCAAAGAAGACAATGCTGGTGACTGACAACAGACCATGGCTTTCTATGCTGATGTATTAAAAGCTGGTTCACTTCTCTTATGTTTTCAGTTCTACCACTTCTTGTTTGCTTGTTGCAAGGGGCAGTGCTTTTGCATTTAAATCTGCTGAAATTGCTGCTTCTTGAATTCACAATGTGGGCATCACCTGTTATATAATGAAGTTGTCTCAAGTATCAGGCACATTTTAGTAAGTTAGTAAACCCATCATTTCCAAATAATTTCCAAATAATTTCTGTAATTTCCAAATTTTCTCAGAATTAATGCATTCATACAAATACTTCTCAAAGTATGCAAAGCAAAGCTACAGTTATTACAAGCAGCTGCTGTGCGGAGCATCTTTAGAGTGGACTGCTGTTTTTAGCCACTATCAGTGCTGGCCAGTGTTAAAATCATGGCTGATGTATTTGTTGTACCAACACTAATCCTTGAATTAGCTCTACTAGACAAGAGTGTTTATGCCTTTTCTGTGTCCACAGATATGCTCCATGAAGGCACAGCATGATATAATAAATTGATTTGTTTCATTTTTATGAGCACCAGATCACCGAGTTCTTTGCACTTTCTTCCACCGCAGAGACATAGTAAGAGCCAGTGTGAATGCGAGTGAAGCCGACTCTGTCATATTTGTGGGCACGGGCACTACTGGCGCTGTACACAAGCTCATCTTAGCTTTGGCCCTTACGATGCCACCAGTAAGCATCGTTTTGTACTTGCATGCTTTCTGTAATGTTTCCTTTAATGAGACACATCAGAGACTTTGCTAGAGGGCTTTGAAGGAAATTATTTTTTTATGCTAGGCGTATCTCACACATTTGGTAAACAGTAATTCATTGTCCCTTTAATAAGTGATAAAGAAAATCAGCTCTAATAGAATTATAAGCAAGTCATTTTCTTTCACATTTCTTGATGTTCTTTCTGTGAAGAATGGGAAGACAGAGCTATTTAATTTACCACAGTGCTGACATATATTTAATTCAAAACTATGATCATTGCATACTCTAGATTATTTCAGTACCTGTTGACTTCTTAGACACCTACTGAGTAATTCAGTTGTCCCTGTTACTCTTGCAGTATTGCACTGTGTTAAAGTGCATAGTTGACTTAAAACTCTGCTCTAATGCACAAGAATTCACAGTTAGGCTAAGTGGCTCATAAACATTATGGTACAACAACGTGAAATACGGTACAGTGACACTCAAAATACGGGACAGCGCCATGTCCTGTAGGTCTCACTGTCCCATATTTCGTGTTTCTGCCATAATGTGCTTGGAATTTCAAATGCTTTCATGTGACCCGAGACATGTTTTGCTTCTCATTACAGGTAGTTTTTGTTGACACATTTGCACATCACTCTCTTCTCCTTCCTTGGAGGGAAGTGGGAGCCAAAGTAAGTATATTATCATGGCGATATTGGGTGCCATCACCTCTATGTCTGCTCTCGAAACATGTAAGCTGTCTCTTGGGAAGCATTAGCAATACGTGCTGTACATGCAATATCTTTGATATGTCAGAGGTCATTACTAGATCTGGTGGTTATTAGCAGTGCTGCTGGCATTTGTGCTGGAGCGTCTGTACGATTGGCATGATAACTCTTTATTGTAATCACTTGTGGCAGGCCTTCAGAGGGGCTTTGACTTTTAATATTGAGCAAACAGTCATGGGTTCATTTTTTTTTTGGCGAAACACTGGGTGGAACACATCTACTTGAGTACTTATACTCAGGTCCCAATTAAACTCATTCAAGCAGCCAAACCTAATATTGAATCTATTACACTTTTGCAAGAATTGCACAGCTTTGGGACATAAAGCAGCAGCTAATACAGTCGAGTCCTCTTGTAAGGATATTATTTACAACATCACAGATATAATCATAAAGAACAATAGCACCATTCACTTTTTTATGGTAAAATAAACCACTTCTTACGATGCTGCAGGGTTGCGATATCAAATGTAGTAATCGAATACGGCTGCAGTGCGTGCCAGAAATGACTCTTGGTGCTGATGGCATGCCCCACTGTGCTACACACACACACTCCCTGAGAAGCGAGTTGACTGTGCTTCTGATGAAGAAGCGAGAGAAGGATGAGCTTTCCTTCCAAAGCTCTAAAGTGGTGCTAGAAGAGGCCTGCAAAACACCTGGCGACGAAGAGCTGCTGATGTTGTGGTCAGTGCTTAATGAAGATGTGTCGTGTCTAGACCACTTAATACAGACGATGTTGCGGAGACGTCCGGGTGGGTCCGTGATGAGGTGACCATTGCGCGTGTAGGTGTTGTGGAAAGTGGCGAGAGCGGCAACTCAGACAGCAAGGCTGAGCAGCCTACCCAGGTTCTCTCGCCAGAGGAGGTCCAACAGATTTTGCAGTTGCTCCGGTACTTTCTTTTCGCAAAAAACTTTTTGCTCTGCTACGTGAAGCCCATCGAGAAAAATGTACGCAAGCTTCATGTGAATCGATAAAAGCTATGGCTTTTCCACAAACAGGTACATAGTTGCACTACCTTACTTGCATGCAAGAAAAATGTTTTGACCTCTCTTTTGTCTTTCTTTTCTCAACCTGCTTATAACAATTATTGGTTATAACAATGGGATTTCATTAGCCCTTAGACATCGTTATAAGGGGACTGCCGTGTGTATTTTTGCTTTGATAATAGCATCACACTTGTCATTTAAGGTAGGCATTAGCTTACTTCTGTGTGCATGCAATGGATAGATGGGCAGGCAGCATGGTAGTTATATTCAGTGTGTCGTAACAGAACGAAAATAGAAAAAAAAAGACAAAATATTTTTGATTGGAATGAAAACAATGAAAATGTTATTCATTATTTCATTTTGGAGTAAAACATGATTTTCTTCAATCGTTTTTGGGTTTGTGGAAAAACTTGGCGATTCGAAATTATTTAGATCAACCAACGTAAGCAATAATGAATACCTCAAATTGCAGTAACAGCACGTTTTTCAAGCAGAGATATTTAAGTAAAGATGGGCTGAAATTGTGGAAAAAATGAAAACAGTGAGAACGAGAGATGTTTATATTAACGCACATAGATTTTTGTGTGCCTCTTACACTTGCCAGCATGAAGAGCCTGAGAGAATTTTCGGCGCTTGCTTTTTTCATCAGAACGATGGTCTCGCACATCAGAGAAACAATCAATGATCCACTGTTTTTGCAATAACGCTCACTCCCTTGACACAAAGCGTCAAGAGAAACAATTTGTTACTGACTGTTGAAAAAACTAATAGTATGACTTTGAAGAGTACTGGTTCGCACTGCATAGTGAGAATCAGTTGCACAGTTACTTCCGTTCCTCTGAGGAATGTGCTTTACCCTCGTCTCAGTTTCTAAAGAGGAACACTATTATTTGTTTAACCTCAAATCTTGCATACCAATAAAAACCGTTACGGAACATAATTTTTTTTCATTCATGACATTCATGTACGTCTTTGACCGTCAAAGACGTATCTGTCTGTGGTTGCCTGTATGTTTAAAGCAGACGTATTTGTAAATTATTCTTTTTGCATGTGCATTCACACTGCGGGAATACGTAAAATTTTTTCCTTGGGCTAATGTCTCTTATTTTTTTTTATTCTTTACTACAATGATGCGCTGGCTAGGTTTGGTTTCGTTCTTCAGCTGGTCCATGCTTGTTGCACCCACAAAACGGATGGCTTGTCACTTTAGAATTTTTCAAAGCATGGTTGATTCGTTACTCTCTTGTTTATTGCTCATTAGTATGCAATTAGAGGTGTTTCCATGCAAGCACTCACTAACACAAACAATGTCTACTGTGGTTTTATTTGCCATTTTGGGGATTCGCATAAACTGCTTTTGTCTCATTAGTGATAAAATGAAGGATTGATGTGTAGGTATGCTTTTGCTTTCCAGACAACTACACAGTGTTTTTCAGTGCGCTCACCTGCGCAGTTTGCTATTACACTGGTTTTTCTGCTGCAAATGAGTGTAGCAACTAATCTCTGCTCGGCGGTGAAATCGGAATTTTATTCGGTAAAAGTCAGCCCCTCATACGAGGAGTTATTTTCTGGTCAAGACTCAGATATCGATAACTGAGCGACATCTCAAAAGTGTTTGCCATGAGACGATGCTGAATAGATCAAAAGGGGCTTTTCTCTACCCCGTGTTTACACTTAATGCCACATCTTGTGCTTATTTTTGTGCATTGGTGAATACACAGACATTTATTTTGGTGCACAACTTTCTAACTATTTCATAGGGCTTTTTAAGATTTATCTTGATGTTGCTCATAAATAAGCCATGTGGATATAACACAACACATTTTTTTTGTCACTTTACTGTTACCTAAAAAAATTTGGACAATCCTTATTTTTTCCTTGAATAGGTTTGCCCGAAAAATTAAATTCAGCAATAAAAAATACATATTTTTGTGATACATTTTGCAAAAAAAATCGACCCTCGAAAGGTTGATGAGTTTTAAGAAATAATAATAAAATAGTAAATACTGGTCATTTGAGGTTTTAAGCATGTAAACATTTATCAAGACATTTTTTTTTTTCTCTTTCATTCAGATTGTGAGAGTGCCCGAGACTGTCGAGGGGACATTGGATGTCTCGTTTCTTGAAGAAAAGCTTAAGGTAAGGAAAACTGTAATGGAATTAAACAACAACAACAAAAAGCTGCAGTCTGATGTGTGTAAGATTGAAAATGTGTTTTCTTTTTCTTGTGTTATTTTCTTTTTATTACAGGAATATGCTGAAAACAAGGAGAGGGTTTTAATAGGTTGTTTTACGGCGGCATCCAATATTACAGGCATCCTGTTGGACAATGTTGAAATCACAGTTCTGCTTCATAGCTATGGTGCCCTTGCATTTTGGGATTTTGCATCTGCGGCACCTTATATAACTGTTGACATGAATCCGGTTATTCCTGGGTGAGCCCTAGAATTAACTCTCTTTTTTTAGCAATATTATCAACACGCATGCTGCAAACTTTTGTCGTTGTTCAAAACATGTCATGACTGCACAAATCGATTTTCCTAGAATCAAACAGGGGCTGGCATACAAGGATGCCATTTTCATATCACCTCACAAGTTTATAGGTGGTCCCGAAACACCTGGTGAGTTACTTGCATCATGACACTGCATTGTGGTTTTTATTAGGACCTCTTTTTTTTATGTGCATTGTGCTGTTTAGTATTAACTTTGTTTCATTACTGCAGGTGTTCTTGTCGCAAAAAAGAAGCTGTTTGTCAACAGAGTGCCATCTGGATGCGGCGGTGGCTCCGTATTTTTCGTAAGATTTTGATGAATTTTCGCTTTGCATGAAGTGATTGGCATGAAGCACTTCGGGCGTTTTGTTTTCTCAAAAGGTGCTATATCCTGGACCTTGACCCCATAGTTAGCATGGGAGTATATATTCACCTGATGCTCACTTTGAAGACAACCTCAACATTGCCTCTAGTTAACTTAACAGAGATACAGTTAAAATGCAGAGTAGATGCTATAAAGAACCTTTACACTGATTCAAACAAAAATTGCTTCATTTAATACAGAAACATTAGTTTTTGCTGACTGAAGCAAGCAGAAACTTAGCAACAGAATCATTACCTTCTATGCTTTTCCTAAAATTGCCAAAGACTTAGAAGAAAAGAGATAAAATAAAGTGCAGTGTTCACAAATATGTAACTCAGAATAAAAATGGACGTTTAATCTCTCTTACTGCATCTGTTAACTCTTTCGTTACCACGCCTCTTCAAATCAATCACTGGTGATCGACGTTTTGGATAAAAAATTTGGGCATGTTTAAATTGTTTCTCGTGTGCCCAGCACTTTCTAGTAGTTAGTCCAGCCACTCAAGTTGAAGAGTCAATTTGAATTTGCCCATTTTGGCAACATAGTGATTTTTGACAGACCTTCACGTGAACCAATGTGCGTGTGCTGTTGGGAAAATTCACTTGGCTGGCGAACTTTACAGAAATGCGTGCCCCTCATGCTTATGCTCCAGTAACATAAAAGTTCTGTAATCAAAAAAAAACCTTTGCAAATCAAATGTCAAATTAAAGTGTCAGCTTCACAATCTGATACTCTTGAGCAGTGATAATTGCCAGAAATTCATGCCAGCTATTCAATAGAGAGCTGTTGCTGGGAGTCGGGGAACTTCATTATACAAAAAATATTTCCAAAGGTCCAGCACATGTATAACGTGTGGAGGGGGCCTTCTCAGTCAGTTTCAGCAGTTTTGGTTTCACTTGTATTGTTATATCAGACACAGGGCTGCCTCCAGTGTCACTAGTCGCTCCTATGGCATGGTCGTCGTACGCGCATAGGTGCGCACCTACGCTGCAAAAAACAAGTGCCGCTCAAAACTGTCTTGAATTGAGTGATGACGAGCTTAGAGTTCGATGATGACAGCACCTCAGCTTCAGGTTTTATGGTGATGATGTTTTGCGTCAGCCTCAGACATCCACGGCCGTTCATGAACTTGTTTTGTTTGTGGCCTCAAGTTGTCTCCTCCTACGCAAGTGCGTAGCTAATTATCATTCTGCACAATCTTATAGCTGCTTTGGTTACGTGCGAGGTCCACATGTCGCTGGAGCACGGTATGCTAGTGCCGGCTGCAGAGATTCTCCTCACGACATGAAGGCCACTGGAGCACGTCTTAGCCCTGACTACAGAGCAGTGCGAAACATTTCAGAACTGCATGTGAAATTGTTCATTTTTTTAGTATGATGTGCAAAAATGCAAAGAAATATGCTTGGATGCATATATTGAACGTCAGTGTATGCAGAGTGAGAAAGCTCATGGAAATAAGTGATGCTAGACGAATTGTTGAAGTTCATTGGATATCTGATTTACACTCAAACCTCATCAACATATACCGTAAAATCCCGAGCAAGTGCCCCCTTCCTTCTTCAGAAGATATCAAATAATCAGCTTCTTCTTCCTTTCCACCATTTTAACTGTTTTATTCACTGTTTTTATACGCCCAATGAAAATGAATGAAAATAGTGAATGCATGTGAATTCAATTAAGCATTTCACTAGAAGTGCGGGTTTGCATTTTTTATTATTAGTGGCTGTTCCGCTGCCATCTTGAATATTGATCATTGACCGAGCGAATCCCCTCCCTCCTCCCCAAATGTCATTGAATTATTATTGACTGTATACAGGACACTTGCTCGAAATTTCACGGTAGTTGTCACCTACCTTTTTTCTGCTGTAGCACCTACTGGCTTTAGTCAATACTATTTCAAAATGAACCTCTTTGATCCTCGTGATTCTTGGTACAGTCGGCAGCCTTACTGTGAGCGAACAGGTTTGCATAAAGGTTCTTTCCTTGCATTAAAGAAGCCCTGCAGCATTTTTTCAAGTAGTCATAAAATGGATTTAATAATAGAGCTTATTGCCTCACGAATTTGCCGTCGCAAAAATTTTCATAATCCTTTTAGTACGAGCAGAGTTACAAAGATATGTCGTATGCTACAATTGCATTCTCTTCTCTCGTCTTGACGAAAGTTCCGGAAACAAAGTAGCGAGGGATGACACGAGGAAGAAAAATACGTGAAGGGCACCTCAGGACTTTCAGCTCTTTTTTTTTCTATCTTTATTTTTTCTCTGGAATTCGCAAGTTTTGAGTGCGATTGTGCACCCATGCATGGACAAGTCATGGCCTCCCACGGCTGCCCTAGTAATGACCGAGCATGCTCAAATCAGCCTATGGCTAATATAATGGCTATGACAAGTGATTTTTGAGCTTTTAGTGTTATTTTTCAAGAGAAAAGAAAGCAATTCTTACCTGACTTTGAGAAGTTATTGTAATTTCCAAGTTGCATGCTGCGCTAAAATATTTCCCTCTCGTGTTCTCTGGTTCCTCGACTACCAACCAGCAGCATTTTCTGACCTGGTTTAAGAAGTGCCTTTAAGTTGCATCAAATAAATAAACAAGCCCTTAAGTTTTCATTTCTTCCATTCATTCATAACGAGGGTCTCATTCTGGCAAACTGAATGCCTTCAAGTAGTATGAGAGAACTTATTGGTCAGCTGTCTGCCTATAAAAGGATCACTTGCTATGTGAGCCAGCTGATAAATGAGTGTTCCACACTAGCCGTCATGGCTAGAGCAATGCTAACTAATACTCCCAGATTTGCATGCACATAAATACCTAAACAAGTGGACGATAGAATGACTGCAGCCATAGTTAAGTTGGTCTGGCACGTTATTCAAAGGTTGCAGGTTTGATCCCTGCCGGCAACAAATCCTTGTGTCCACTTTACTCTCTTCACATCACAATTACAATACGCTTAATAGAGTACAGTTGAAGGAGCCCTGAAACACCTTTTAAAGTAGCCATGAAATGGATTCACTGAAGTAGCTTATTGCCTCACGAATTCACTGTCGCAAAAATTTTTAGAATCTGTTGAGTATGAGCGAAGTTGAAATTTGTCGCATGCTGTAATTGCATTTTCTCTTCTCTGGTTCCGACGTAAGTGCTGGAAACAAAGCAGGGAGAGATGGCACGGGGCTAAGAAATACGTCATGTGCGCTTTGTGACCTTGGGCACTTTTTTTTTTCTTCAAATATATGGCGTTTCATTGCGATCGTGAGCGCGGCCTTCTGCGGTGGCCTGAGTAATGACCAAGCGCTATGCTCAAATCAACCAATGCCTGGGACGAGTGATTTTAGAGCTTGTATAGTCATTTGTCAAGAGAAGGAAAAGCAATCTTTAGCTAACTTGGAGAATTTATTGTGAATATCAGGCTGGCGCGCTGTGTTATAATATTTGGCTCACATTTTCTTGGTAGCCTCAACTACCGATCATCAGCGTTTACTGACAATGCTCAAAAAATGTTACATGGCCCCTTTAATGCTCCCTGTCTCTTACTTGGCTTCATAATCTGTTGGCTTTAATTGGGGTTGTAGCAAAATTTATAGTTTGTCTCTTTAAGGGCTTGACCGATATCTGTTGTTCTTGAGCAAGACTCTTGTGGAGTGTGCTTTGCCACCCACTCAATTCATTTCAGGTTTCAAGGAAAGATCATCGTTACCTTCAAGAAATCGAAATGAGGGAAGAAGGTGGGACACCATCAATTGTTGGGGCCGTCCGCTGTGGTCTCGTGTTCCAGCTGAAAGCGGCAATAGATCAGGAGTTTCTTTCTTCAAAAGAAGAAAAGCTGTGCAGGTTTGTGGTTCTCAGAGCATCAATGATTGCATGCATTTGATCACCAAAGCATCACTGTTTGCATAGTTGATGGTCAATGGCATCATAGGGGACAGCAATGCTATCAGAAGCTCAGTAATAGTCTCCATTACTTGTTAACTTACACAGTGATCTTTCAGGAACGTGTGCAAGGTTGCCCCAGAGGGGTTGATTTGTAAGCATGACGGAGACACCACGGGTAATAAAAAGTGCCCAAAAAGCATTCATAAACCTATAGTTTGCTGTGTCTTGCATTACGTCACTGGTAACTGGAAATAAGGAACAGAAAGAATTGACAAGATGTAATAGGTGGGTTGGTTTTATAGGCAAAGGATCAGACAGGATTGATTTATTCTTGAATATTTAGCCTAGCTAAGTCGGTTTTATTCTTAATGCCGTGTACTTATTATTATACTCTGCTTTTTGTGTCATGGTGCTATGTAATGTTTGGTATAGACACACACCTACATAAATTATTTATATTCTAATCGTGAGAATTCTTAAATTTAGGACATCATGTAATTTTCTTCTGAAAATTAAAATGCTTTGACACATCTGCCAGATAAACAAAGGTGTAATGTCATGATATCTCCACTGCTTTACAAAACACTATCATGGAATCATTTCTTATAAGAGGGAAAAACTTCACGAAATTCAGACAGACACAAGATGAAGAAGGCATGACGCGAGCGCTTCCTTATCTTGTGTCTGTCTGAATTTTGCACTGTTTTTCCCCTCTTATAAGCATGAACCAATTCGCTCAAGCCGCAACCCTAGGAATCATTCTATTTTTGATTGGAAGACTTGCAAGAGCTTGTGAACACCTTGCACCATCAGGTTTTGATATGGCATTGTGATTGCACTAGTGGTTGTTGGAGAGGCCCCAGGCATGAGCTCCAGCCCCTCCAAGAAATGCCCCTTGATTTATTAGCAGTGTACATGGGAAAATGACACCGATCAGAAGTGTTCACCCCAGCACTGCAACAACAAGCTCATGGCTCTTCATAAAACAGCACATATAAGAATACGGGATAGAAAGACACCAAGATCAGGACAAGTGCTTAAGAGCAATTGTCCTGATCTCTTTCTGTCCTGTGCTCTTATGTGCGTTCGGCCCCGCCGCGGTAGTCTAGTGGCTAAGGTACTCGGCTGCTGACCCACAGGTCGCGGTATCGAATTCCAACTGCGGCGGTGGCATTTCAGATGGAGGGGGAAATGCTGTAGGCCCGTGTGCTCATATTTGGGTGCACGTTAACCCCAGGTGGTCGAAATTTCCAGAGCCCTCCACTACGGCGTCTCTCATAATCATATGATGCTTTTGGGACATTAAACCCCACATATAAATTAATCAATCAATCAGTCAATCTTATGTGTGTTCTGTTTTATGAAGAATGATGAATAATTGACACGGCCGAACCTTCTCCCTTTTGGATCTCATGGCAATGGCAGTGCTGCTTAGGCATAGGCACAGAAAAGGAAATATATTGCCACGCATTCCATTTTTCAAGTTTGGTTATCGTCCCAAAACACTACACAATTCTCAGCGCAAACCGCGCCTGCAGTTTTCAAGAAGCTTCCGGACTGTAGTAGATCATTTCGATAAGATCACCCCCACTCTGCAAACGGTACAGATTATTCTGGAACCTACGCCACCACCAGCGATAACGCTAGAACATTCGACGGCAAGAGTATAAATGCCGACGCGCTTCGCTGCTTGTCAGTAGTTGATCGACGGCCGACGCTCCGTTCGCCGCTATCAGTCCAAGACTGCTACTGTAATCGGACTTTCCGTTTACCGGGCACAGGTTCGCCCAAATAAACAGTTAAATTCCAACGCAAAGTCTCCTGTCTTCGGCCACGTCACGACCCCATGACAATATAGAAGAGGGAGCTCCCATTACAACAGGCATCGGTAGGCATTCAGATAACATCACAAAAAAACAAAAATAATGTGTGCTGATGGAGGCACTTTGATTGGCGGTGCCTTGTGGCACGAAGCCACATTTGCAAAAATAAAGAAAAGGAAGTGATACTTGCCAGATGCAGCTGAGCGAGCGCAGAAACGAACGGAACCGACCGTGCTCTGTGCCCGCTCTCCGTGTCTGCAGCTGAACAGCAGCGATGCTCTTGACTGGTTCCCTTGGAAACTGAAACAGTGGCAATTCTATTCTTTGACATTAGACATCGCCAGCATGAAGTGGCTCTCTGGCAATGTGACGCTATCTAGTTGCCTCTAGCAGCGGAGTTGCCCCTCCCATATATTTCCTGCTCCATAGACACAGGCCACGCTTCACTGCAATCAAAGCAATATCTTGTAATCTGCTCTTGATACTCTTTCTTGCCCCCCTGTGAGCTATTTTTTATTTATGCAAACATTTTTTCCAAATTTTCGCCAATGAACACTTTCATTTTTTCAAAGTTTTTTCACTGTTCTAGCTTGCCAACAGTCCTTTTTGGGCCCAAGTTGTCATAATCATCATACTGACCTATTTTTAGCTCTCCTCACAGCTTCCCTCACACCATGTGATTGTTTAACATGCTCAACAGTGTTTTACTCCCCTTAGCAATAATACAAGGCTTGCCCAGCCTCACTTTCTCGCTGTGTAAATTAGTAAAATCATCCATCATTGATTATCTTTCTCTCTCCTAAAAGCACCCTGAACTACAAATGATGCATGCTGGTTTTAATCCAGGTTTGCTTACTATGGGGCTCGATGATGACTGTAGCACTGGCGAATGCAGAGAAACCAAAGTGTTGGATACTTCCTCCTGAAATCGATTCCCATGTTGACTGCAGTGTCATACGTACATCGGTAATCTGGCAGTGTATATTCCCTTCAGGCAGAAATTACGCAAATGCATCATATTCACATGGGATGATTTCAAGGCACTCAGTATTACATTCCAAGAAACTGAATGAGAACACTTGATGTTTTGTGGGAGTTTCAACTATTAGTGTTAATTGACATGTAATTAAAAATATGTAATTATTCTTCAATCATTCAGCTTCAATCCTTGCAAATAAAGAATCAACTGTTAGGCCCAAAATGAATGCACGGTTTGTTTTTGGTTGTATTTTTTTAAAGCAAAGCAACGAAGATACTCTTGACGTTGGTGTTGAAATGCAGCACTTTCAATGATCATTAAATATAGTAGTGTTTCCAGCAAAGTAATCCTATGCAGTTATACGCAGCACAGCAGTTGTCTACTCAGGAGGCCCGCACGAATGTGCGCAGTTTCAAGCCATTTGAAGGAACACAGTGCGTGAGGTGCCTCCAAATTTGATGTGTATGATCGTACACACCGCCACTCAAGGGATTATGGTGCAAAGGCAGTAGCTGTTGAGTGATTGTGAATAATGAATATATTGAGCATGCTTGTGGTGTAATTACTATGAGGACCTTAAAAATAAGAATGTTTTAAGCTTGTTAGAACTACAGAAGAAATGCGTATTTGTGCATTACAATTTAATTTTGTGGACAACTGACTTCAAACGCCCTGCTCAATGGCCTGCATACAGTGGTGCCTTATAGACCGAATTTCTGAATTTGTGAAAAGCCATTTGTTTCTGTATGATAGAACTTGATTTTGTTGTACACTAAGTCTAGCTGTGTCATTTGCTGGAGTCACTGTAGTTTTCAGCTATTGTTCGAACGGTTTGTAACTGATAGTTATGAGATCAAAAAGTGCAGTGGTGGCTTGGGGTACGAAGGCCACAATATGCAGAACAGTTCTGGCACTGCAATATGCTGCTTAGAAGGATAGACTGTTGGCTGAGTTGGCAAAATTATGATGAATAATAGCACGAAAACAATGTGAGACAAGATGAAGAAAACTACGAAGAGAACACAATAAAAAGAACAAATATTCAAGGAAACAAAAGCACAGGCTCACCATTAACAAAACCAAAAACCTCAGATCTGCAAATCCAGGTACCTTATCTCAGCCATGTGCAAGAGATGACTTAGCCACACAGCAATATGTTAGCAATACAGTATAATGCACGCTGCATTTTAATTGGAATCGGTATGCCATCTCGCTGGATAAGTTTAATGCCTAGGCAGATTTCTGTTGTCTGCTTTTACTTTGAATTTGCTATTTTACGAAATTCTGTGTACCTGCATTTATCTTTTGTTACTGTGATCAATTCACCTCCGGGTGGTACAAGTAATGCATTGTAATTCAATACTGTATGCGTCATTTTGGTGCAAGGTCCTGAAGAGTTTGAAGTCACACAAAAACATTTTAGTCAGCGTAACAAATGTAGTCTCAAAAGTGTATGTATAAAGCTGCTTTTACAGAAAATTGAAAGGTTCACATAATTAGACATCTTTACTGTCTAATTCTATAATGACTGATGCTTTTCTTACCAATTGCCAAAAGTGATGCATATTCACTTGTTGGAGGTCATTCTCAGGATTTCGGGACATCTTTACATGGCATCATCTCTTGGTGGCAGCAACAGCATCCTACAATAATTGAATGTATGGGGAAAATCATATCTGACAGAAAAACAAAAAGCTAGTTATTGAAAATCACTCTAGGGTATTGCAGCTGGAGCGACTGGAGTATTCTGGCAAAATTGCAGTACCACACTGCAAAGCATGTGGCCTCCCTGAACAATTGAACACTGCACATTGGGAATACCTGAGACCCCATTGTTAAATATTAAGCACCATGCGATTTGTAGTGCGATACTGTAATTTTACGTGAATATTCCAGTGGGTTTTTGCTACTTGTAACAGGAAGTCATTTTTGGCAACCGGCATTTTCACCAGGTATGATTTTTTTGTCTATTTCCTATTCAGTAATGGCAGGCCACTGCTGTTGTGGACAAGAGAGTGCACCACATGCAAATACTATCCCCAAATCCTGGTCATAGAAGCGTGGCGTTGGATGGCAGGCTGTAAAAATCTCAAAGGTGGTTTGTTGTGACATTTACCATAGCTGCAACCTCCAAATATATGAACTGTCTACTTTGGAATTGGAAAATTACCAGCCTGGCAGGTTGGGTAAAACTGTTTGAGCAGAATATTCTGCTCATATGCTACAGCCAGTGTACTAATTTAGCCAAAGTTTGTCGCAGTTGGAGAAAAGGCAGCTGTGTGCTTTTTCACTGCTGCAGAAAGATGTGGAGTGCTTGGCAAGATGTGCCCAACTTGGTGGTCCTGGGTAACCGGAATGTTCGCCGCCTGCCCATTGTGTCCTTCCTAATTCGCCATCCTGAATCAGGCCTTTTCCTGCACCACAACTTTGTCTGTGCGCTGCTCAATGACATCTATGGCATCCAAGCTCGAGGTGGCTGTGCCTGTGCTGGCCCCTATGCACAAGACCTCCTGGGCATTGATGAAAACTTGGCCACTCGCTACGAGGAACTTCTTGCTGAAAACAGGTGTGCTTGCTCATGCTCAAGGTCTTGTGTACTTCTTTACCATTCTCTTGACGATGGGATGTTTTAGGACTGCAGACAGAAGCAATTGACATTACTGTATCATAAATAAAGTGAATGAAGTCTTGAAGAAAGACATCTTGGCATTGGATGCCAAGGTTGCAGTCATTTTTTTTTTTCTTAAGAAAAAAAGTGCTGTTTAATAGTTTTTGTAGAAGGTATTGGTAGGCATATTTAAAAAAAATTGCCAGGTTGCAAATACAGCAGCCAGGCATAAATAGGTGATGTCACTGTTGTCACTACTGAGGCTTAAGTTCTGGTAAGTTTATTTGTAAAAGGGTTCAGTATTTGTGGTAAACCTAAAAGGGCCCTCAAACACTTTTTCAAGTAACCATGGAATCAATTCAATAGAAGAGTTTATCGCCTCACGAATTTAACGGCGCAAATATTTTAAGAATCCGTCCAGTGCGAGTGGAGTTGCTAAGATTTGTTGCATACTGCAATTGCATTCTTTCTTCTCTCGTCCTGACGAAAGCGCTGGAAGCTAAGTAGGGAGGGATGGAAGGGGAAAAAAAAAAACGTCATGCGTGCCTCGTGACCTGAAGCACTTTTTCTTTTTTTTTTTCGAATGCGTGACTTTTTCAGTGCAATAGCGGGCGCACGCGTGGGCAAGTCGCAACCTCCCGCCGCGATAGCTGTAACGACCGAGCGCACCATGTTCAAATCAGCCTATGGCTGATAGATGGACTTTCTACAAGTGATTTTTGAGCATACTCCATCATTTGTCGAGAGAAGAGAGAGCAATTTTTAGCTGACTTTGATAATTCATTGTTAATTCCAGGCCACGTGCTGCTCTATAACATTTGGCTTGCATGTTAACGGGAACCTCTACTACCGATCAGCAGCGTTTTCTGATCATGCCCAAAAAGTGTTGCAGGGCCCCTTTAAAGTTAGTAAGCATTGCCTGATTCAAAATTTTGGCTAACTAACTGGGTCATTGTCATAAATAAACAATGCTCCGAGCAAATTCCAAATGATAGATACTTTATAATTATAGCACTATCTTTGTGGTTGAAGAAAATCACAGATAACACTGGAAATGAGAAATACGTCCACAGACCCATAATCTTTGCATGCGATTTTACTGTTGCCAACAGTTCGAGGTGTTGAAGGGGTACTGACAAAAAATTTTGCTGCCGAGATAACCTGCGGGATCAATTCACGTGAGCATGTATATATCATCTATACCAACAGCGAATATAATTTGGAAGGTATTTTAAATTAATTTTGAAGTTTGCAAGAACGCTCTACTCCATCGCTCTGTTGACAACCTCAAAGGGTCCCTTCGGGTCCCCATACTTTCCTCACACAAACATGCTGCCGCCGGTTATGACGACGTCTTAGCCGCCATTTTTCTTTGGTCGCATTCGCTCCTGCAGGCTATTACTTGGAAGTTGCTCACAAGTCCGTGGCAGTGGCACACGAGTTGAAAGTTTACTGTTTCATGGTATTGCTGTCCCATTTCCTGTTCAAAGAAACTTCTTATGTGAACCGCATGTGAGTGCTTCATAGTTCTGTGTGCTGACCTGGTCAAGCATTGCACCCATTACATTACAGCATTACAGGTGGTGATAGTTGCATCTGGTGGCTTGTTGTTTTTGAAACCGTAACTGACATTGATAAGTAAAAACGAGCCTGTAATTAATTATCCTTCGTGCACTGCAGAAAACGATGTGTCGTGTTATGACTAACATGACCTGAGGAACGCATTGCAGCAAAAAAATGTGACCAAAATTTTTTTGTCAGTACCCTAGTAAACACATTGTGCACACTTTCATGATGACACACAAACACAAGAGTCCTAAAGACAACATGATCAGATTGTGAATAGAAGCATGTCTGATCGTGTGCCTATGCCAGTGCGGTAGCTCTGGCCAGAAGACACAGTTCTGGAAGACTCAAGTGCATTGAACATATGTGATATTTTCCAATAGCAAATACATATTCCAGGGGCCATGCTTTGCTAGCGGGAATCTGAAACATCATGGCTTTCTCAATAGATGTGGTTCGACATATATATATAGGGGCTGAACTATATTCATGCTCAACCTATCTTTGAGCAAACATGGTATGTTCAGCAGCTTGACAAATACAGAAGAAACACAGGAATTCTCAAAATGTAATGGATGATGTACTAAGTGAACAAATGATTGTAAAATTAAGATAACTTCTTAATAAGCATACTTACATGCACTGATATTCTTTTTTTTGCTTTGTTAACTCTCATTACCATTTTAGAAGTTGTAATTTTTCATTGGTTTAGGGAAGAAGTCTTCTGCCAGTTCAAAGAGTCTTCTGCCAGTTCATACTGACCTATGCATTATAAAATGCTCTTTTCAAGAGTATAAATTGCTGAGCAAGAAAAGTATTATGAAGTATCCAAATATTCAAGTATTCAAGTGTAATTTTTTGTTGCCAGCTGATGAACACATCAATGAAAAAAACTGTATATATACAAAGGTATTTAAAACAAATAAAATTCATAATATACATTTTGGAGATAAATGATGCAGAAATAGTATAAGAAATAATAAATGCTCTATAAAACGTTATTTGTTTATGTATTTAATTATTAATTTATTTATTCAAAATACCTTACAGATCCAACAGGGCATAAGGGGAGCAGATCCAACAGGGTTACAGATCCAACAGAGTTTAAGGGGAGCATAAAAGGAATAGATACATGAATTGGTACAATTTCCATACAAACAATAACATAAACTAATTGTCAATTATTATACAAGTCCTAACAGGAATAACAATAAGAAAATAATAATAATAATTTTAATAGGAATAGAATAGCAATGAAAATCAGATGAGTATACATGTGAGATAATGACGTAAAACAAGCTAAAAAGGCAAGCACAAATTGTGAAATGACTTTCCATTATTAAAATGAAAAGATCACTCAATACACAAGAGAACTGAATGGCATGTTAGTATTCAAACCATCAAAAAAAAATTTCAAAGTAACAGAAAAAAAGCGAGATACTAGTAGTGAATAAACGCGTAGATGCTGATTTTCATATGAATGAAACGAGCAGTTAATCCTGGAAATGGGTGAGTAGAAGGTGCCAGAATTTTTCTCAATTCCGATCAGCTACGATTTCATCTGGAAGGCTGTTCTACATGCGGATGACACGGGGGAGTGCAGATGAGTTGAAAATGTATGTTTTACCGTACATGCATGTGAATGAAAGATGATTATTCAGTCTATTTGATGTGAATGCAGATGGTTGAAATGTCATTGATAATGGCCTTGGTTCATGTACGTATTTATGAAATAATGAAAGGAGGTTTATATCACGTCGACTGCTGAAAAGGGAAAGTGATAATTTTTTTTTAATTTGTGTTATGTTTGCGCTATGATCGTAGTTTTGTGAGATGAATCTAGCGGCTCTATTCTGGATCGACTCCAGCATGTTAGTCAAAAAGCTGTAATGAGGGGACCAAACTGCTGAAGCGAATTCGAGCTGAGGGCGAACAAATGTTACGTAAGCTAAGGCACGTATATTTGTGGGCGTCTTACGTAGATTGCGGCGTATGTAGCCTAATGATCGTGAGGCGTCACTGCAGATGTTTGTGATGTGGGTAGTCCAAGAAAGGTTAGATGTGAAGGTTACGCCTAAATATTTGTTACTGTGAACATACACTGTAAAGCCTGAAATGAGGCACCGCTTCGTGTCTGCGATGAAGGATTTCTAGGTTTTTCGTGAGATGCAGGTGCACTTGTGCACTTTTCACATAAAATTATCGTTTTTATGAGAAGAGCTTGCTGGTGTTCTAATATAGGTAGATGCCTCGGTTGAGAATAATGCCTGAATGAATCAGAAGTCCAATGAACTTCACCATGGGGAGTTCGCCTCGAGCCACCTCTTTCCACGAGCCACTACTGTCCTCTTAGGTTGGCATTGCAAAATATGCATCCAAGGATATCTATATATATATTATTATATATAATTTATATTTTTGAGACAGAACTTATTGCCACTAGTGCACTAAAACTATATGCTCTTTTTTCAAGAACAGTAAAACCGCAAATTTCATCAGCCGCGACCCAGGGGTTACTGCTGTGCCATTTGCGCCAGTGTGTGCCAAACTGGTTTGCCTGTGCCATTCTGTGTCTTATCGACCCTGTTGCGTCAAATTAGGTTAACAGAACCGTACTGTGCTACACGATCCAAATTTAGTCGCAAGGTGCGACAGCCATCAAGCCCCATGTCCGAAAACCTGGCTGCAACCTCATGTTTTTGGTTTCATCGAAGATGATATAGTTTCGGCATCGTCAAGGCTGTGATCACTCGAGCAGAAGCTGTGGACTTTGATTTTGAGAGCATGGTCGCAATCGCTAGCGCGCTCACTAACTCGGCAGACATCAGCGTGAATGGCTCCTGGAACATTCTACAAACTGTGCTATTAATGGGAAGCGACTGCCTGGGGTGGCCATATTCTCTTACACCAACATTTTGTAGAGTTACGTGATGTCAAATCCAAAAAGGTTAGCCGCACGCCTTCGTATAACATTACAATTCGTTGCTGTCGCATTTATTGCTTCGCTGTCGCGATGGAACTCATTTTTTAATATCGATAGGAGCATACAGAAAAGAAAGAGAAAGTGCTCAAAAGAAGTGGGGGTAGTGTCCGGTTCCCAGAACAAATGAGGACTGGTGAACAAGACTGCTCACAGGGCGCGCGCGCCTACTCTCATTCATTTAGCCACTGTGCTCCGTTATGAGGCACTTATCGGCTCGGCAGTTAATGCGTGTTCAGGTTTAACAAATGGGTGGCTGTACATGGTTAAGAAAGTCACAGCTTAATTGCAAGAACGAAGCAATGAATGCGATAGCAATTAATTTAGGATCCGATCTCGTGTAACTTTAGAAAACACTGATGTAAGACAGCATGGTCACTCTGGGTTGAGCAGCAGTTTTCGCAGTCTCTTCGTAATGAGAGCGTAGCACGTTGAAGTTATCTGGCGGAAGGGACTGTACAAGCAACAGTCCCTTCCGCCACTCCTCCCCCCCCCCCCCCCTCCCTCCCTCAATGCTCACATTCTTTCATCTCGTTCAAGCGGGTGGTGCGTTTCCTGTTTGCTTCGATGGCAGGGCTCCCGAGTAGGGTGATGTTATCGCATGCGCTCTCCGAGTTACATAGAAGCGCCGACTCATTTGATCTCTGCATCAGCCATGTACGTCACTCCCGTTCGGGCGTTTTCATCCATGGGTAGACTATGTGGTGCGCAGAAGTATGTTATCAATATGAACTTTATATGGGACATGACGTATGAACTTTATATGGGACATGACGTATGAACTTTATATGGGACATGACGGTGACACCGAACACTCGTTGAGAGTGACTGCTATTGTTATTAAGATTGCACAATTGTTTGTAAGATGCAGCATTGTACAAATGTTGCTCTACAAGTGCTGCGTAATGGGGCTACATCTGCTCTTAATGTCCTTGATCTCTGCCTTCTCCAAACTTGCTTAGAAAGGCCTTTCAGGCAGCTCCAAGCCTGCTCTAAAATGTCTTTTTGGTTGCTCCAAGCCTGCTACAAAAGGTACTTTTGCCTGCTCTCAGGACTGCTTCCAAACCCATGTAGCCTGTTCCTCCCTTGGCTGTAACCGAAAACGAGTCATTCCTGAGGCATTAGTGGCGATTAAAATCTGTCATTGTCAAACAATAGAATGTATGCCTTGAGAGGGTAAAAAAAGAGCCATCGCAGACTGTGCAGAAATCTTAATCTAGAAGCAGTTTTTCAGTATGTGCACAAGACTAAAGAACTTTGTTTGCAAATGCTTTTTTTTTTTGGCGAGAACACACAAAGAGGAATGTCCATTCTGTGTAACCAATTCGCGGAGGGGGGGCTGTTGGCAGCATATATTTGCCCCTTTTCTACAAGCAAAACATAAGGTTCTAAGTATTGAAGATATTTTTATGATTAGCAACCTAAGTTATATAATTGACATTTTGAGACACAACACCCATGTGAGCTTCTATGACTTCTCTATAGACATTAAAGATCTGTTTTATTCTTTAAGTCATATGAAACTCTATGTGCATGGAGGCTGTTGACAATCACGTCCATGTGAGCTTACAGAAAGAGGTTAATCAAACTGCTAACCAGTTTTTAGAACTTCTATATGTTTTATTTCTCTTCCACGTTCGATGCTTGGGAGGCCTCAACGTTTTTACAGAAAGAAGGCGTTTGTGCTGGTTCTCTTCTTGTCCCCTTTTTAAAGGGACCTCTCTCCCACACATTATGATAGGGTTCTGTGCACTTGCTTGGAAACAACGATTGCTAAAGTATTCAGCCATGTAAGTGATTATTTGTACACTGTGACAGTGACTGCATGGTGGTTGCTATGTCGACCGTTTCCTCAGTTTTTCACCTGTGCCCTAATGATTAACCATAATATGTGAAGAGTGGAAAGATGCCAATTCGCGGATACCCAGAAACGAAGTGTTTGTGGTGTCATATCTTCATAACAAATGCCATGATCTTAATAAGATCGCTATGAAAGTTATAGTGGATGTCGTATTTTCTGCACCATTAAAGCTTTCTGAGTTGTGCTCACATGTAAACAATCCCACGTAGAGGCATATTTACTGATAACTGCATCAAAAAACATTGTAAACAGTTTGTACCATCCGAGGAACGTGTTGTCTGCTGTACCATATTGTCATGTGAAAGAGAGCCCTTCGGACAAACAGGCAGGTGCCTAATTAGGAGTTACAAGAATATCATAACAATGTAAGTAAACAGGCATTGAGTGGTCATCTTGTTGCACATGCGTGTGCCGTGGTTGTAAGCCTATATTTAGTAGAACTAAAGTGATCACAAGATATTCAGGTCAGATGACTGAAGAAATTGTTGAGACGTTTGAAATTAACGACAACAAAAGTTGTGTGAGCTGCCCATCTGTTTTGTTGCCGCAAAAATAGATAGTGTTCTTTTCACGGTAGCAGTGGCACTGTTGCTTAAAGTTATAACATGATGCAATAATGATTTTGGCATTCTTTTGTTCGTTTTTGTGCGTTGGAATTTATGCTGTAACCATATGCAATAGACATCAGTGCAGTGTGTCCTCATGTCTTCTTATGAGTCTTTGTATTTATTTGTGCTAAAACATAAGAATTACGATACCGACCAGCCCACCATACCCCATTTGGCCTACAAAATTTAAAAAAATCATAAGAAGCAAACATAAAAGACTTTAAAGGTGTACTGACACAAAATTTTGCGGCCAAAATAGCCTGCGGGGTCAATTCATATGAACATGCGTATATCATCTCAAAAATATCAACATTGAATATGGTGTGGAAGGTATTTTACAGCAATTTTGAAGTTTGAATATCGAAGGCATTGACACCATTTAAAGGGACCCCTTGGGGACCCCCTTGCTTCCCTCACGTCACCACGCTGCAGTCAATAAAACAAGTTATGATGCCGTCATAGCCACCATTTTTCTTTTGCCATGTTTGTTTCTGCAGTCTATACTTCTCGACTGCTGGTCACGAGTGTGTGGCTGTGGCGCACATGTTGAAAGTTTTGTGTTTGGTGACACTGCAGTCCCATTTTCCCATTCGAAAGGAATCCATGATGCGGACCGTGCAGAAGTGTGTCACAGGTCAGTGTGTTGACATGGTTGAGAGCTGCACACGGTAGGTGGTGATAGTTGCACCCGGCGGCTTGTCGTTTTTGAAGCACTATGAAACCTAAACTGTTCGATAATGAGGGACTTGTAATTAATCATCTGTCATGTGCTTCAACAAACGATGTGCCGTGTTATCACTAGCAGGCCCCCAGCGATGCACTGCAGCAAAATAATGCGAAGCCAAAGGTGTCTGTACCCCTTTAACTGTAAGGAAGGCAGTGTGAGAACATGCTGCGCATTCGATTGAGTGTTTGTCCCCTTCTCGTGCAGCCTACTTGACCGGACTCATCTGAGGCGCTACCTAGAGCACTCGGATAGAGAAGTGCTGCGTCCTGGCTTTGTGCGCCTAAACCTGGCTTTCTACATGCCTGACGCCCTGGTGGATTTTGTTCTCGAGGCAGTGCGCCAAGTGGCTTTCAATGGTTGGAAGCTTCTCCCACAATACAACTTCAACCCTGAGACTGGCGAGTGGAAACACTCCATGCACCAGGTCAGGCATTTTGGGGTAGTGGAGTAGGTTTGTAACGTTCGGGGCTCTGAGGTGGCATTGCAAAGGCACATAACAAAACAAGAGCAGTGGATGAGACTTGTGCTCTACACATTTGTTTAATTGTCTTGTTGCTCCTTTTTTATTGCATTGTGCCCTTTCGGTTCTTTTGCATAAATTCTTCCTTTCTAATTTATGCTTGTGTGTCCTTTGTGTATGCTTCAAACTAACGTATAGTATCTGGGGCTTGTTTTGAAACAGCTATTGTTATTGATTTTAGTTATGTAAAGATTCCTGCTTTTTTTATATACTTTGTGTGAGGTTTTATTGTGATAGCAATCTCATTACTAACAGTTTTGAGATGTTTCGGCTGTCATTATTACCATCATGTTTTTATTAAGTTCACCTTGATAATATTCCCTGCAAGCTGTAGCGGCGAATGCGGCTGAGGCAGATATGAAACAAGCTGACGCATCTCCCTCGCTTGGAGGGTGTCGGCAATAAAATCAACCCTGCGCGGCCTGCCGTCAATTGCTTCTGAGGCACAGAGAAACGCCTTGCTTGTCTTAAAGGGGTATTGACACGAAAATTTTCACTTGTCTATTTCTTTGCATCAAATGATAGCCCAAGCCCCTGAGAACATAGGAAGCATAGTGGTTGGCGTGAGTGTGCCCCGAAAAATTAACTACAGCATGCTTTTAAAAGCTACTTTTGGTTCCTGCTGTACCCTGACATCAGGACTTGGTGATGCTGTTGAGGAGCAGCGCCACCATGCAGCAGTATGTGCACGCACAAGTTTTCGTGACGTATCCTCGTCGGTGCGTTGCTTCTTCGGTCGTCTACTTTGTCTGCTGTGCACCGCACGGGTAGCAACTGTCGCGATGGGGCCATCATTCTTAAGGCACAGGTTCTTCGTCCACAATTTGGAGTCGGTGAGCAACTGCAAGTTGCGGGTGCACATCTCTGGTGTTAGGTGCAGCAGAGTTAAACTCCGCTTGATTAGCGTCCAGTTTGCACCTTGGCCCCCGCTTGTCTCAGCGCCGAATCAGACTAGAATCAGTGGAACTTGCACCCATTGTCCTTCGTTTCACTAGTGCAAGGCCAAATATTGGTGCCATGACAAAGAATTCGCTATCAAACCAGTCATTTGCCCTCTAATAAGCATATATCTTGTATTTGCGTGCACATACACTATTTTAAACTGTACTAGCTCGCTTTAGAGGTACGCTGAATGACAGTATGGGCTTTTAAATTGTACGTATACTTTTTTACGTATGCTTATTACGTATACTTCTCTACGTGTTACCGAATACCAGTTTGCATTCACAGTCTTACCGAGACGCATGTTTTTGAACGTTTTAACTCCCATTCGTAAAAGATTACGTACGTGCACAAACGTATGGCTTTACGTTTTCGCAAACCATAAATGGTGATGCTAACTACATTTACATTATCTTCAGATAGAATTGGATTAGCGCTGTGGCAAAATTACGAGATGTTTCTTTAAGGAGGTTTAAAATAACGTTCGCAGATGTTGGTTTAGTTGCGGGCACCATATGAGCTTTAGAATAGCGTTTACTCCCCCTAGGGAAAAGTTTAACAACTTTAGCCCCTCCCCCCACGAAACCTAATGCACGGAAGCTACACACAGCGCTTTGCGGGCCTCGCGGACTGCACGCTATTTTGGAATTTCTGCAAGCTCAAATGGCGGCTCGCGTTTCGAGGCATGCCCAGTCGCAACGACCGCACCGCAAGGGCTTGCTAAGCGCTATTCTAAACGTCCCTGTTTTCGTGTACAGCATCCTCGTATGCGAAAAAGAATGAAGAAACACAAGGTTACTGCCACGATGGTGTCAACATCTTGTGACACTTTGTGCAACCACAGTCATGAACACGTTTGCTTTAGCATAATTTTTTTACTTGAAAATAATTAAAAAGGTAACTCATCCCTAATAACACCACTGCACGGTTTTTACATCAGACGTACGATGCACGATGTTTCAGCAATAACAATTCTGTGCTTATACGTTTCATTTTGGCCCCACTAGACGACACCACCTATCCAGTTTTCGGGGGCTCACACGTTCGTGATTTTGATGTTCTAGGCCATTCTACCTTTAGTAATCTGGAAGAAGCAATGTAATTGCTGTTGGCATTCGCACTTCAGCTTATTTTGACTCGATGGCTGGAATCTCTGCAGTGGGGATATCGTGAGTTCGTATGAACGAAAGTGAATTTGCGAGATAGGGCCGCAAACGTAAAGCTTATCTGGTGGATAGCTTACGTTGCGTAAATGTGCACATTCTGTGGAGACCCGCATATGTGCAAATTCTATTCAGTATCTGATACACGATAACATAAAGAAGTATATGTACAAGCTAAAAGCTCCTAATTACCGCACAGCGCGACCAGGTGATTGAGACAGCTACGCGCAAGCTGCTATTTTTTGTGTTTTAGTGCTTGACGTCATCAAAACTTTCCAGACTGCTGCGTGAAGTCACCAAGATAAATACTGTAGCCTGACAGCTAGTTATTGTCGATTTCGGTAGGTGTTCTGGGAGAAATTTGACTGTAATATCAAAATAAAATATCTTATCAGCATTTGCTGAGCATCACACTTGCTCAGAGTTGTCTCTGTATATACAGGAGACTAGTGTGCTAGTGTAATGTCGCCTCTGAAAAAAGGTGTCAGTAACCCTTTAAAGGAGCATAGAGGAATTTGGGAAGGGGGAGAAGATTATTGCTCGAGCAACTGCTGTGGACTTTGATTTTAATGCTGCAATCATGATAACTGGCATGCATGTTAACTTGGCATGCATCAGCAGAAGGCTTGTATACCCTTCTACCTGCTCCGCTCTCAACACAAGAAGAATGTGCAAAAAGGGCTCTCTTCCTGAAACGGCCATACTCTCTTAACCCAGCATTTTGTACAGTAGCACAAGATCGGATCTAAAGGAGCTTGCTGTCAGCTTTACTTCATATAACACTGGAGTTGCTATCAGGCTCATTACTTTGCCCTTGTGGTGAAACTGATTTTTTGTTGATTATTCCCTCACCAGGATAAGTTAAATTGATGGCACAGCCTCTCTTTTTGTCTCTTGACCACACACTTTCCTTTTCGAAAGCTCTAAGCCTTTTTAAAGCTTAAAATGGATCTTGACTGCTTAAAGCTTCTTGGATGTGTGGATAGTGCCTTTTCTGACCATGCCTGTTTCATGTTTTTGTGGTAGACTGTCCTATGCAATGTGGTGGCTTTGTGACTTTTGTCCTAATATGTGTATACTCTTGATAGTCATGGCTTGATATTTACAGGTGTTCAAGGACAGGAGATGGCTTGGCTCAGTTTCCTATAAGGAAGGGAAGTTCATGTACAGAGTTCTTGAAAGGGAGAATGAGAGACCTAGCCCTGCTGGTTCATGGCAGGCAAGCAATATGTTGCACAACTCACACAACTTCACACATGATCAAAGAGAATTAGTTTTGACGAGTTCTGGGATGCATGCCCTCGTTGATGCTCTCACCTTTGAGTGCCTAGTCGGCATGATAATTTAATGCATAAAAAGTTCTCTTTAATGATGTTATCTGGTTATTTCTCATTCTCTAAAAACCATTTATACAATATCAATGTCATGAAATTAATAAAACAGAAAACCTTACATACATAAGTATTGTATTTAGTAAAATATACTTTTCTTGTTGTTCTATGGCTTCACGAAATAGCATACATTGAAAGTTGTGTTGTACTTGAAGTGATTGCTTTTTAATTAATATTATTATTTGTGCAAATATCCAAATATTTGAAAGAATATTACAGTATTCTTATTTGCTTCAATTCAAATTAAAATTTTTGATAATTTCAAAGTGTTCAAAATGAACGAATAAATGTTGACAAATCCGCATGCAGCATTGTCTAAATGTGGTTTCACCACAATTAAAGGGTGCGAAGTTGTGAAAACACCTATTGAAGGAGAATTCACACTTCTGCAAAGTTTCACATAAAGGTAAAATGAATGCATTATCCTTGCATCGAGTCATCAATTTTTTAGTTTAAGAACTTGTTATATTGGCTTATATGCTCTAAGTGTATTAATTTTTAAAATATAACGTATATCACAGGTTATCATTTGAATTCTACTGAGAGTCAAGTGATGCTACTATTCAAAATTGTTCCTGCTTCGTTTGAATCAAAAAGAACGGCATTTTTTTCAGGCCTCGTCTAATTTTTTTTTTAATATTGTGCAGGATTATGACAAATATTTTCTTCTTTATATGATATGTGATATATACTATTCGAATTCTATTCAACATTTCTTGACCGAAATCACTATTCGGTTCGAATTTGCTTTGAACCTAAAATCCACTGTTCGCACAAATCTATTGTTATCATACACTGGATAACTTGGTTTGCTTGCAGTTGTTCTAAATCAAATCAAGATACCTTTTTTTTCCTTCCAGGATGTTCTGAATGATGCAAGCCTAATTTTTGAAGGCGCTACTAAAGTAAGACCAACTCAGCTAAGTAACTGCTAATTAACTAAGCTTTTATAGGTCTATGCTATACTCGTATGATTTTAAACCTTTCTTTTCAAAATGATGCAAGTGCACGTACAATAAATGTTTCTTAGGATGACTGTCAGTCGGGCATGTTGGTATAAGTTCATGATGAAACAAGCGTCAAAACAAGTGCCAGCCAGGCATCCGTTCTTCTAACAAACTCTGAATTTGCTTTTTTGGACATAACATGACTCGGTGAATTTCTTTTCTTCGTTTTTTTTTGGGGGGGGGAGTAAGAGGGCTTAGCACGTGTATTTTCCGGTTGTATGCTATCGATTATGGGAGGGGTTTTTTGTTATTTCACATGGATGATAGTTGGGGTGGTTTGTGGTGACACAAACCACCTCTATGTTATGCATATATGAGAGTGTTTATTTCAAAATGAAAATTTTCAGTTCATGCTAAGCACTCGCCTTGTGTCCTTTCCGGGTGTTAGTACTTATTCGCACTTGTTTCATCATGAAATGTTTCTTAGCATTCCCTACGTTTTGAGGCACATTTAACTCGTGCTATGCTGCCAGAATATGGTGTGCAATAAAAAAAATAGGAAAGTACCATGGAACTTCGGTAGTTTGTAGCGATGTTTGTGGTGGCAGGCAGTATTCCAAGATCACTTGATAACATAAATTGTGCATTCATTGCATGCAATCATGCATGTATAGTCTGATGTACACTCTGACCTCAATATAATGAACCTAAACATATTGAAATATTGGTTATAACAAAGTAAATGAAAAATAGACGTGCAATAGATATAGCATTAAGAATAAACCTTTATAATGAATTTTCAGATGTAATGAACTTATTTTTGTGTGAGATTCAATATTGTTATGGTGAGGTTTGAGTTAGTACTGCATATCTAGAGGCATGCCTATTTCACGTAAAATCTTGTTTGTTTGTTTTTTCGAGTTCTCACACACACCAATTTTTTCGTCTTGCTAATGTTTTGGAGAAAGGTCACGTTTTATTAACAATTGGCACCATTTCCTTGTCAAAAGAAAAAAGCCTAGAACTTTATTTAATACCGCATATGGGAGAAATAGCTACTGTGGAGACAATGTCAGCACACTTGTTTTGTCTCGCCTGGACATTTTTAAGAAGTTGTCATTCTTGAAGGACAGCCATACAATCTGCCGTAGCAATCACCATGCAATAACCATCCTAGAACAGCTGTTTTCTACAGCTTCCAGCATAAAACAAATCACACTTATTGACAACAATTTAAAAGCACTGATATTTTCCATAAATGAAATTACCTCATTGCTTTTTGTTTGAAAAGCTAGGTGAGCGACACTACCACCTGTTACATTAAGTGATCAGGATCATAAAATCCAATTTTTGTGCGAAATGTGAGGAATTACATAGAAGCACCAAGCGCAGCTTTTTTATTTTTTCACTACACTAAGGGAACTATGCAGCAAGCCGTTGTGGATTATAGTTGTGGGATCGAATCGCGGCCACAGTGGAGGCAAAATGCTGGATGCCTGGGTACTTAGGTTAAGATGCACGTTGAAGAACACCAGGTGGTTGAACTTTCTGAAGTCCTCCTCTACAGTATCCCTCATAATCATATGGTATTGAGGTGTAAAATGTTGAAAGCGCAACAATTACTGTGTATTATTAAGTGGCATATGCACGTCCGTGTATCGGTTCTTCTCTATTCGGAGGATCTCAAACGGCAGAAATAGTTAAAAGTGTCATTTTTTGGTGGTTAAAAATGGTTGCTGCCTGAAGAGGGTGCACAAGTTGTCTTTTTTCTCTCTCTTTTGAGCAGGCTGCACACAGAGCCCAGCTCGCTGACCAATCGTTGATGTTTGACGCGGAAGCTGCTGAGCTACGTTGGTTTCTCCTCCCAAGTGAAGCGAAGCAACTCCTTGAAGGGACACAAGTGACACTCAAGGATTCTCCCTTTGCACCACCCAAGTCGGGAATGCACAAGCACTTGGAAGTGAAGCAGCAGTGTGTGCCGTCTCGCCAAGTTTCCTCAAAGTCAGCTTGCGTACAAAATGAACCGCTCAGCTCCCGACAGTTTCGTTGGCATGCTCCTCCAAGGAACATATTCAAGCCGTTCTTGAAGGTAAGCTGGTCACACAGATTGTGCCTCTTGTGTTGTTCCTCCTATGTCTATCTTTATGGATCGGTCAAGTAAGAATGGACAGTTTAAATGCATGTACCCTGAATGGAGGCTGATAATAAGTGCTCTTTTGTGAAATAGCACAATTCTGGATCTGTGTACTAGAGCGCATGGTACACAGCTATTGTTGGCACACTGCGGGTAATGTGAGTACTTCCATGGACATTTCCTGTTTTGAGAGCAGTAGGTGTAGAGTGAATAAATAGAAGGGCTGCAAAACTGGAGTTGAATTGAGCACACTCATAATACAGATTGAAACATTTCCTAATATAAAGAAAATGTATGAACTTGAACGTATGCTGCATGTTCCTAGGGATGCTAAAGGGCAAATAAAATTTTATGCAAACTAGGTAACTACTGCATCATTTTGTGATGTTCCAGGGTTTCAGTTTACTTCATTTTACCGTAAAAATGCAACTAATAGCTGGCAATTTGACTGGTGCTTTTGTGAACCATTTTCTGACTGGCGCTATACTCGACAACAACTTATTTTGCAAGTGGAGTGGAGGCGGGGCATTTACACATTTGTGTTACTGTTCAGGTACTGTGGGCTCCCATTTAACGGAACTCAGTGGACGAGGAATATATGTTCCATTTAGAAGGAGTTTCATTTACTGTGAGATTAACGGGGTTGAAGCATTCAGGTATGAAACCAGTGTTGTCAGAAGCACTTCTTCCATTTAAGCAGATGTTAAATTTCATAGATTTTTATTTACCGAGCAGCCTGCAGCCGATTTCAATTCTAGTTTTGGTTCTGTTTGCTTGCAGCATCTGTCAATAATTCAGGCTGACGGCATCTTGCCCTAGCCTCCACGTTGCAGATAACTTGCTTTGTCTGTATCTGTATTGCACTGCCACTTCCTGTCACTTCTGGCCACTTTCTGTCACACTCCGAGTATATATTTGTCGTAGAATGAAACGCCGAGTTGGCGGCTGAAAATGCTTCAGCTGGCATCAAGAATACATACCATAATTACTGTGAGTGCAGGTGCTGGAAAATGTGGTGCTGTACAAAAAATGAAATGAGAAAAAAACATTTAAGTAGTGCATGACATGAGAAGAATTCTATTTGAGTCCTGAGGTACTGATACTTAAGAGATCCAACCGCCTTCCCAATCAAATCGGTGGCTTCGCCCACTATGAGACCGGAAGCCAGAGTTTTATTGCAATGTCTTGGGCCCTCTGGATGGGATGGAGTTGAGTGCGAAGGCTGCTGCTCCTCAGGGATTCATCCCGTTGCACAATAATCTGTTTTCCAAGAGCTTCCCATACTTGTTTTATTCTTGTTATAATTATTACTATAATTATTCTAGCTTGGAAACTCCGAAAATTGGTAAATAAAAATAGGTACTGTTTCATGGCACATCCAGAGACACGTATTTCAGTTCTGCAGCTTCTACAAAACTGCCAAGAAAAGCTTTTGCCAACTATGATTGAGTGCACATGATCAAGTGATCCTGTCAGATATCTACACACAATTTTCCTGTTACACTTTCGCAAACATTTGAACAAAAAAATACTCCAATGCCACGCTTGTGTGTCTAATGGTTCAGAAATTGGCACTTTTTAAGCAGTGCTGGTTTAGCTTGTTTTGATAAATCTTGGGACAAGTTGGGATGCCACTTTTGTGCACTAGCTTTTCATGCTCGTTTATTTTTTCCTAGTGCTTTCATTACTATTATTTGTTGAGAAAGATTTTTTCAGGGTGGGAGGATGATCACATCAGATAGCAGGAATCAGTCTAGTTGCTAGGAACAGTTCTGTGTCTGTAAAGTTCAATTGTGTTCTAGTAAATTGCATCATATTCGAAGCTGTACAGTTGCTCATATGTATTCAGATAACTTTGGTACTGTGCATATTAATGCTGATACCTTTACACAATATGTGCAGTGGTGCCAATAGTGGCTCACGTGGTCACAACCCTTAATTATGGAATATCCTGAATTGGCCCACTTTACTGCTTGTGTTCGGTATTGGTCCATTTCGCTAGCTAAGACACCTAAGGTGATTGGCCAAGTACGCCTACTCGATAAAAGAATACTTACTCTGCTTGGAATTGAACTCACGCTGTTACACTATCCTGCAACATTCTTGTTCAGCAGTCTGTGCAAGGTTTTTGTGCTGTGCCACTTCTGAGAGTTGTGGTGCCTGTGCGTGTATTTTGCCGGGCACAAAGGGGTACTGTAGCATATAAAGAAAACATTGTGTGCATCGCAAAGAATCTAGTTCCATGATTTGATGAGCAAGGCAGATGTCGGCGTGAGTTTGTTATGGCTACGACAAATTCAGAAACGTAAAAATATTTAAAGTGGACAGCTTCTAACTTTCACTTTCTTCAAAAGTGAGCTTGAATGAACTTGTCATATCTGCTGTGAAAATTGCATCTTTTCTTAGAACCCTCCCGAGTGAATTGTTTATTTTTCTGCTTCCAGGCAGTCAACGAGTTCAACATGATAGCTGATGGGGACAGAGTCCTTGTCTGTTTGTCAGGTGGAAAAGACTCTCTTTCTCTACTTCACACTTTGCACCAGTATCAGTTCTACCTCAGGAAAAAGGTAGTAGCTAACTTTCTTGTGAATTTTATACTATACTGTTTTCACTCATGGCCAGGCTTGTGCAAATATTTCAACACTTCAAGTATTCAAGTGAATATTACAGTATACGAATTTGCTTTGACTTGAACTTAAATTGTTAAAAATTTTGAAGTATTTGCAATCAACAAATACTCTGATATTACACTCCCTTTCATACATCAGGTGCAATGCTGCGGAAGCTATGCAAGAAGTTCGGTCAGCAGAATGTGTAACTCCGCACATCTCGCGCTTGGATTTCATCGTTGTGAACGTGGCCTCTGCAATGGGCTCCAGCTGCACACTGCCAGAACTGATTGCAGAAGCCATGATATGAAATCACGAGACGCTCAGTGGTCCTGAATAAACCATTGACAACTGCATAAATAATGGGGTTTGTTTATTTCTCAGGCACAAAGGATCTGCATTTATTACTCATTGCAAAAACTAAAAGGACAAACCACATTACGTGTGACAAACCACACTATGAACACATCAACTGCAAAAAGTCTCGCTAGCTTCAATGCATTGCACCATGCGTTGCACTTATGAAACAAAGTATACAGTGAAATCTCAGTAGAATCAACTTCGGGAGACTGCGGAAATTTGTTTGTTATTTTGAAAGGTCATTATAGTGAAAGCTCGAAAATTAACCTTACTTATTTTTAACCGACCAAAATGACTTACTTTTACAATGGTGGGTCCTTGAACTCGTTTTTTATAACAAAAAAAATGCACAAGTAAACACCAAAAAATGCACGTTTCCTTTAAATAACTCTGTGATATTTTTTTTACGCGACAACCACTAACTTTGCAGTGCGAAGGCCTCCAGCTCATCCACATCCCAGTGGTGCGATTCGGTTCTTTGGTCACAACAGTGTGCTTTTTTGCCTTATATCCATTGTCTCACTTAGCGAAAACTTCTTCCGCTTCTTGGTCGGTCGCAAGCAGAGATGAACTCATTTGTAGTATCACCACAGCGCGAACGCCGACTTGCTTTGCGGACGCGATGAGTAATCACCGAAAAGAGATGAACACGACTGAAAAAACAAAGCCTCTAAAGAAAAACTAGAAGCGTCACGGCTGTCATCGCCTCTTTCGAAGAAAAAAAAGTGCTAAAAAGAAAATTCCTCACGTTTCGTTTTCTACTCTCTCGCTGTCTCAGGTATAGGTATTCCGCGCCCATGCTTCCTGCTCTGCAACTCCCACTCTGCCTCGCTGACCTTGCTCTCCCGTGTTGCCTTCGCCTCTGCGGTTTGTAAACCTGCAGCATGGGCGTTTCAAAAAAAAGAAAATAAAGTAGTCCTTTCGTTTTTTTTTTTTCTCTCCACACTGTCTCACGTCTTCCGAGAAGCAAGGCGTCCGTTCGCTTTGTCGTCTGCTTGCGTACCGCTCCGGTGGTCACAACGGATTTCAGAACAAAAGTTCGTAGTACTGAGGCATTATTAATATAATGTGGAACTAAATTAACGCTCGTTATTCTGAAAAGTTTGGTATTCTGAAGTACGTAGTAGTGAAATAATTTTACATTGAAACTATTAGCAGTCGGTGCGGGATTTCATAAAAGTTCGTTAATCTGAAAAGTTCGTTAATGTGGGGTTTGTTCTACCGAGATTTCACTGTAATAGGCATGTAATTGCCCTGCAAAGGTGGTTTCATTGCTGTGGAGGGGTGCTATACTGAACCGTAAACACACGTATCCAGTGTAAATATGCACTGCTGCAAACTCCTTTTAAGGTTTCGTGACCACATTAACCTGACGTCTATTGATCATTCTTTTAAATATGAAAGCTTGTTATAATAGCTTACACGGTTTAAGTATAGTATATTTTAAAATGTAGCATAATTTGCCTGTTATTACTCACATTCTACTGAAAGTAAAATCCTGCTATTATTCAAAGTTGCTTGTATTTATTCTTGAATAAAAAATAATGGCACTTGTTCATGCCTTGTCTTGATTAAAAAAAGAAAATATTGTGCAGGTGAGTTGGGTCGTGACAACTATGCTTATTTTTCTCTATATCCTGCTATATATACAATTCTAATTTGCTTCAAAGTTATTCGACCAAATCACAATTCACTGTAAGTGTGCTTTGAATCTAAAACTCACTATTTTGAACAAGCTTGTTCATAGTCACCAAATGATTCTTCTATTTTCATGGTAACATCATTGCTGAACCTCAATAAACCAACATGGTTTATTGGATTTAATGATGTAAACTGAGATTTGTTTGGTAATGTTTTATTCTCGTAACTGGAAGTCGCCTAAACAGAACTGCATTCTAAATTCACTGCAGTTCACCACTTGTGTACTATTACTAAAGGGGCCATGACACCCAACTTTCATTCATAATATATTTTTGCATATTCACAAACAAGCTGGCTAGTTGCAGGGCATTTGGTCGATCACTTGACGTATAATTGCATATTTTATACATGGCTGGCGTGAGAGTTGGGCAACTCCGGAACACTTTCAAGCCGTGAGCACATGCTGCTGTGCAAGTGTCTTCACTTCAGTGAATGATCTTGTTCTTTCGTGAGCGTCATGTGCAGTTGAGTTATTTAAGTTTTCTACAGATTAGCATTGAAGTTGAATGCTTTAAAGCTGCTGCACTTCGCAGATGGCAATTATGTTCCATCCAGTACATACGGTCACACACTCCATGGTAAAACGGCGGTCGTCAACGGTAGGCGGGGTTTGTAGCCGGCTACTTCAATGGCTTTTTTTGCACCGTAATACTCCTTTACAGCCCATATTTCATATATGTAAAGTGCAATAGACACTCTACTTATCTGTTTTGCTGAAAACTGGAAATTGTTCGGTGAAATTGTGATGGACCTCGTAGCAGTCTATTGCTTTGGGATCCTTATCTGTATACATATCAGTATTTGAATCTGATTCATTGCGAGTAAAGTATTATAAAAAATCATTGAACTGCCTTGATTTTGGTTGGTTTCTTAATTGCCTCCAGCAATGCTGCACATCTTCACTAAATTGAACCTCTGTAAACAGTAACGCATTTTCTCACTCCCTTCATATTCCATTTTATGAAATTGATGTTCACTTCATGTTGCCCTTCATTAAAATGAGGCTCAAATGTTGCTTCATGTAATAAATGAAACGACTGTTTACTGTCTACAAGGCCCATGTTTTTTCCTAAATTGCCACCTGAAACTACAGCAGCTGGTAATTCAGGTAAGTTTTGTGGGGATATGCACTAAATGCGGCCGCATGCCCTACATTCTCGCATCTCTAGGGAAAGAGTTTCGATCTGGGTGCAGTGACAGTCGATCCTGGAAGCTCACTGTATGATCCGAGCCCTTTGAAGAAATACCTGCAACTATTAGGAGTCCCATACTTCTATGAAGAGCAGTGTAAGCATAATAATGTTGCCATTTTTATTAGCATGCATGACTATACAATTTATGTAAATTCGCATACCATACAGTTTTTTCACCATCTTCGTAAGGTTGCTGTACCCTACTTTGCAGTGTACGAGAGTGAGCCTCTTGTAACCACTTTTTCAATATGTGCGATTTAAACACTTATCTAATGTAGTAATGCATTAAGAAAATGAGTCTGAATTGAAGGACTCGTTTTGCTTTGTTAGAGACAATATTATTGAGAACTAATCGACAGTGACACCAAGAAAAGTGCAGGAGATGTTAGTAGTAATTGTTATGTAGATGTGAAGAAAGAAAAGTGGACGAAAACATAATTTGCTGCTGGCAGGGACAGAATCTGTGACCGTCAAATACCTAACATGTCCGATGCTTTACCAACTGAGCTACAGTGGCCATCATTTCCCATCCACTTTATAAAGTATATATATATATATATATATATATATATGCATTTAAACCTGGGAGTGTCAGTAGCACCGCTAGTAGCCACGATGGCAAGTGCGGAACTGTTTTTCTGCCTGTTGATGTCACATTGTACGTTATCTTGCTATGAGCTGGAAACTCACCGAAAATCTCTTGCATACTACGAGAAGGCATCAAGTTTGCCAGAACGAGACCCTCACTATGAATGAAGGAGAGTGAAAATTCAAGTGCTGTTTTCGCTTTGTTAGTAGCAGCGTATTACCACTTCTTATATGAAACTTTTGTGTACAGAGGCTGAAGCTCATCACCATGCTTCAAACTCTTGTTCTCCTCGCAGGCATTGTTGAGCAGGCCTCTGCCCTACCTGAATGCACCTCCATTTGCAGCTTCTGCAGCCGCATGAAGCGGGGTCGGATCTACGCTTGTGCTCGAAGAGAAGGCTACAATGTACTCGCACTTGGGCAGCATTTGGATGACCTTGCTGAAAGGTGAAGCTTAGGTCATGCTTTTCCTTTATCGATCTCTCGGATCATACTGCAGTTTCATGCACAAAATGCAAGGACTGCAAAGAAATTCCAAGTTGTGCACATAGATTTTCATTTTGGGGATGCCGAATCATTGAATTTTATTGAGAGCAAACATATTCTCACAATGTCAGATCTTAGCAACATGTTCCTGAGGTTGTTGAGTCATTAATTATGAAAGAATTACATCACTTTCAGAAATACATGTTAACTCTACCTACCTATTTTATGAGGCTTGTGCGAATATTCGAATGCTACGAATATTCGAACAATTAATGCAGTATTTGAATTCGCTTCAAATCGAATACAAAATGCTGAAAATTTCGAATTATTCGAAACAAACAAATAAATGCATATTAGTCCGCATGTGTTACCCTGTAAAGGTGGTTTCACTGCATAAGAGTGGTGAAAAGCCGTGAAAACACGTATTCAAAAGAAACCCGCACTGCCGCGAAGCCCTACTTCAAGGTGAAATGAGAAAATTTTTCTCACATCGATTCATTTCTTTAAGTTTAGAAGGTTGGTATACCTACTTATATGCTCTAAGTATAGCAAATTTTAAAAAATAGCATATTTTACAGGCTAGCGCTTGCCTTCTAGCAAAAGTAAAATCCTGCTACTATTCAAAGTATTTGCCACTTCCTTTGATGCAAAAAAAAGCCTTTCAACAGGCCTTATTTTAATTGTTAAAAAAATATTGTGCAGGTTAGTTTGGTCATGAAAAATATGCCCCCTTTCTTTATAATATGCGATATATATACCATCTGAATCCAATTCGAGATTATTCAACCAAAATCACTGTTCGCTTTGAATTCGCTGTGAGCCTGAAATTTACTATTTGCACAAGCCTATATTATGCATCTTTTCTTTATACAAAAACTATGCCACCATAAGATTAATGCCACTGGGTGTGCGTTGACTGCGCTTACTACTATTGCTACTGCCAAGTTGTTTGTGCTTCACCTTCTTTGTGAGAAAATGTTTCCCCGTAGTAAAATGTTTGGTCTTTAATATTTCTTAATTTACAGGCTGCATTCCTGAACCATTCTGTATTTGCATGCTTTGTTATTTTATATGGTAGAAACCGCCATACCTTTAGCAAGACTGGTTCATTTAGAGGCCCTTGTGTTTCATTGTGAAATATCTGCTTTTGTCCTTCTCTTTGATGTTGCAGCTTTCTCATGACTGTGTTTCACAATGGCCGTCTAAGAACGATGAAGGCCAACTACAAGGTTAGGTAAGTTCAGGTGGTGCATTTCCTTGCGTAATTTTACTGATTTTGTACCATGACATGTCTTCAAGAGAGGGGGACCTCCGAGTAACTCGGCCTTTTGTCTACGTGCGAGAAAAAAATCTCAGGAAATTCGCTGAAGAGGTGGGTACTTGCTTATGCTGTTTTAACACTTTCATGGTGCCTTTAAGGTGCACTTAAGGGCAGAGAAATGTTTTGTGTTCTATTTCATGGCATAAATTTATGCTTGTTTTACAGAAAAAACTTCCAGTCATAGCAGAAAACTGCCCAGCTTGCTTTGAAGCACCCAAGGTTTGTAGACATAAACAATTCTTTTTGTGTTTTCTGTCACTTCACCATATATGCTTTACACACACTCATGCAGACCAGTATTACATATGTTTATAACTGCACTGATGGCCATGCCATTTAATTTTATTGTTTATGAAAAAAAGCTATATTTGAGGTTTTGGATTTCAGCTCTTACTAGTTCGTGCCCCTCACCTTTTTTTTTCATTGTTGTTCAACTTTGCATTGCTATTCTCAGTGCAATTTTCTTCACCTAACTGCAATGTGTATATCTAGATGTGCCTGACGAAAAAAAGAAGTAGAATTGTTCAATTAGCTCTCTTTTTGTTAGACACAACGTAGTGAATTCAACAGACTAGCCAAAGAAAAGACACAGGACATTATTTGAAATTTTTAGCTCTAATGTAGTAATGATGACATAAATAGAAAGAAATTGAAATGTACGAAAAACTGCCTATGCCATTGGCGGGGCCCACATTCAGAACCTTCGACTTTCACAAAGTTACGTGACTTGCTCAAGGGGATTTTAGACGCATTCAGCCTTTTGTTGAGTTAAATTTATGAAATTTGATGCAACATAACCGATGAAGTTCCATAAATGTGCTTTTCTCAAAATGACCTAGTAGTGAAAGTGCATAATCTTGCCACTTGTGTAACTTCTCCTTTGTATTCTTTCCTTATTTGTTTAGGAACGGCACAGGGTGAAGCAGTTACTGGCTGCTCAGGAGATCTTGTTCCCAAAGCTGTATGCTAGTTTGAAATCTGCAATGCATCCATTGATGGCCATCAACCGTACTGGAATTGAAAGTGCCCTTCACCGGAATGGTTTCAGTCTACATGATTCAGATTCTGAGTGACTGTGTAGCTTTGCTAAAAGAGGCTGCCAAGATGTGGATTCTTGATTTTATTTACATTATTTAAATAGATGTGCACCTAAGTACATAAAATTTATATTGTGATACAAGTGAACACATGTGGTTTATGTCAATAATTAGTGGAGTGCTGTGTTTGTTAGGTGCTCAACAATTTATTGGGATGTATGTATATAGGGTAAATAAAGATAATATGAAAACTGTCTATGAAATTTTTCAATGGTCTCTTTGATTATTCTGGTCAATGTCTTCTTTATTTCTTTTAATGCCGGTGCAAATGCGGGCTCCTCAACAGCAGCCATCAGTCCGCCTTAGTTCAGGGAGTGGTCCCGATGAAATATTACATGTAGGGTAGGACTGCTTGCATAACATGTGCATCCGAGCACTTTCCCACAAAGATGCAATAGATGCGTTTCCCTCTCCCATGTTATATGCCCTGAGATTTGTTTTTTTGGGCTCCTCCTTCGCGGTTCAAAGCAATGTTGCCATCAGCTTACAGCACATGCAGCAGCATCGCACTGACATTTCCCAATTGGTTGCCCACACAGTGTCACAAACGGAGATGCATTATCTCAAAACACCGTATCTCTTACTGAGCCGGCATGACCGCCAACTATTTGAACATGAGGAATGGAAGATACCGCCTCACAGATCTATAGACAGCTGCACGAAAAATCATGGCATATCCACAAAGTGAATGATAATGAGTGGCTGAAGCAGTGGAATCATTCAGTGTTACCGTAAATCGCTTGTGACATTCACCACTCATGCATGTAAATGAGTGACAAAGCAACGTACAGGTACATACAATGTTTATTGGTTATAAATGGTATGTTTCCCTCCAGACCACACATTCGCTTTCTGCCATCATGGCGCAGCACATGCAAGGTACCCGCTATACGCCATGACGATTACGCCGATGACGATATTGATCACGCACAGCGACTGGCTTATGCAGTATATGACATCTCAATATGCTCTACGATGCATTTTGTATAAGGGACACCATTTCCGGCCAATGCAGAGCAAGTGGAGGGTCACATGCAGTTAAGACTGGATACCGACATGCGATGTTTATAACGAATGTAGTGACTGTGTGAGCAGGGTGAAAGAGAAAGATGGGAGACTATGATCAGTGCTATCTGTTGTGTTACCATAAAATGACAAAAGCAACCATTGTCACCTCTAGCACTATCCAGCACATGAGAACGTTACCAGCTGTTGTGTTTGTTGTTCCATGCATTGGTGCTGTGTTCAGCCTCAGCAAAGCAAAGCTACAGGGCCTTACCTATGGTAATTATATGTTTAAATGCGATAGATGTAGAGTGCACTCTTGAAGAAAGACCTGTCTTGTTCAAAATTGGCAAGAAATCGCTGCATTTTCACTGTCCTTTCAGTTAAAAGCTTCATTAAATTTGGTTTGATGGCCAAATTAGTTTATTAATTAAGGTTGAATTAAGCACTTCATTCTATGAGTATTAGCTAGGGAAATGAAATTTTTTCATTAGAATGGGGCTTAATCGGGTTTTGTTAGTTTAAGCATTAGTAGTAATTAAAAGACTATTCCAAATTGGTTTATTATTGGGCAAGTTACATGAATTTGTAAATTGCACTAGGCATGTAACATCTATTTAAAAGTCAAGCTTTGCTTTCAAAGTGTACATACCCTTCGCTTCAACTAGCATCCGTCAGTGCTGTATACTCTCAACTGCCCGAGGTGAAGGATCATGTCACATTAACGTGGATAACCCTGTTTCTACTTTTTTTCTTCTCTTTATTTTTTTTGGAGTGCATTTTTTATGGATTCTACATTGTGTTAGGTAGAGCCGAATTTATGGACCATGGTAGGTAATGACTTGAGAAGTGGATGTGGCACAGGCACTTTTTATCTCTCTCAAAGCACATCTTCCACGAGAGCGCATGGCCTATTGTTATAAATTCAGGCCATTCTTGCTCTGCGGTATTTCACAGACACTATCAACCACCAGTTGATTTAGATGCTGCACTTGTTCATCTTCAATGCTGAAATATTTTTTGCTGAACCTTACTGTAATAATACACTCGTTAAGCATGCCGTAAGCATTTTTGCCTGATCTGAGGACAGCACCTATACTACATTAATTGACGTAGGCAAATTTGAACAGGAGGTTGCAAAGCAATGACAGTGTTCTATGAAGCTGCACTATAGCCACTGTCTGCTTGTGCACCAGGTTTAGGTATGTGTATCTGAGGTGTATCGGTCTGAGCTCTGAGCCATAATCAATCATTACAATGTGATCATTAAGAAATAGGCCTTCAGCCCACACGAAGTAGTCCCGAATGTTGCTGTCTATTTATATAGTATAACGGTGGTGTTATTTGTACCAGAGAAAACTCATCGGTTTCTAGCCGAGATTGTTATCTATGCCTACTTGCAAGTTCATGCGGATTATTCATGCCCTATGTTTAAGAAAAAGCTAATGTAAGAGAAATTATTACTCTTGAGCAGTGTGTGGACAAAGTTTGATGCATTTCTTGTGTTTGTATGTTCACAATGAAAAAAACAAGCCTAAGCTGATCCAAAAAATAGTGTGTTAATGGGGCAACATGTGGCAGTGGTGACTGAATTAGCCGTGGTGACAACCACTCCTGTAATCACTATTAGAGCCTCCATAGTGGCTACTTTAAAACTAGACAAAAGACGGGTCACTTAGCTTTGTATTGAAAGAGTTTAGTTCGAAGTGCTACACCAATCAAAGTCATTGAATAATGGTTGTTTATGGATTTAGCTTTGGCCAAAAATCTGTCTAATGTTGGAACCAAAACGATAAGTGCATAGCACCATGGTGATTACAGAGCTATCATCATCGTTACGGAATGATGAAAATAAATACATGTATCTGTGTCAAACTTTGTGTATGTGCTGCAGCATTGCTGGTCATCCATCTTGACTAGGTATAATGCATGGGCATCGACAAGGGGGTGCAAAGGGGGCACTTGCCCTCAAGCAAGCTATACCAGTGCTTTTCCCTCCCTCAGTGCAATGCAACGCTGGTTTGCACCCCCCACTCAAGAGCAAATCCTGCTGACAACCATGATGGAATGACCCTTGAAGTCAAGAGCAGTCTGGCTTTTCACCTTTGAAGACTTGAAGGACCCTCTTGAGCCAATAGCGTCACCATGTAATCATGACGTCATGGCTGACCGTCTTTGCACCGTGCTCACGAGGGGAATCACAAACTATGTCAAAGTATATCAAAGCATGTCAAAGTGCGTTAAAGCATGTCCTGTCTATATGTTTCTTTCGTTTGTGAGGTCATGATTTTAGGACGAAATTGACTATTGAATTAAGGCATGTCAAAAAGTGCATCACAAAGTGGCCATGACATAATGTAGATGCAGTGACACCACTGGCTGGAGGGGGTCTTCTGACGGAGAAAAGCCACACTGCTCTTGACTTGCAACTGAGTACAATAGAATGGGATGCTTGTACAGCGATATACACAAGTGAAGCCCTTATAACAACCCGCTAAAAAAAAGGTAATTGTATTTACCTAGTTTGGCAACTATGTCTTCATTTTTATGTTACTATCATGCAGGAAGGAAACTTTCTTCGTGATTACTATGCATCCTCCTTGTCTAATAGCATTTCATCAACCTTTCGATTGAATACTACAGGAAACTTATGCCATATTCAGATATAATTTTTAGTTTCAGAGTATATAAGCCGACTATATTTTTTCTGAGGGAGTGATAGTAATTAATGATTGTAGGAGTTTAACATGCAACACGATGATGAGAAACACCATAGTGTAGGGCTCTGGAAAGTTTGACCAGCTGGGGTTCTTTAACGTGCACCTAAATATATTCACATGAGCCTCGAGCATTTTTGCCTTCATTAAAAATGCGTCCGCCGCGGCTGCGATTCGATTCCGCAACCCGAGGATCAGCAGCCGAGTGCCTTAGTCACTAGACCACTGTGGCAGGGTATTCTGAAGGAGTGAGAAAAGTACGATATCTTATGCAGAGTTCACTTTTTATCCAGAGCTTAAGAGTGAGTGCGATGAAAAGGTGGTGCTTAAGAATGTTACAGAATAGCATAAATCACTTGTTTTAAACAAATGATTGTGCAAATATTAATGAAGAAGCTCAAAAATTATTCTTGAAGCTTTTTTTAAAAGAAAGTCATAAAATCTACACTATAATTATAAAAAAGTGCAGACTGTACTTGGTTTCCAACAACGAGCATCTCCAAAGTTGGTGCATTCAAAACGAGGCCGATTGTAAGCACTACAATAATTTTTCATGCAGGAGTGCTAAAAATAGAGCAATATAGAAAAAAAGGGAAAAGTTTTCTATAAACACTTCAAAGAAAATGTTTTTCTCCTGGCTGGAGATGAACCACATAGATCAGTACTTGCATGCCGTGACATGTGCCATTGTGGAGGTATGAAATGTAATAAATGCAAAGCATTTACTTGTGTACTCCACGCGCTTTGAGCCCATCTGTGTACTCTTGTGATAACCCCTTAACTAGGGGTAAACCAAAATTAGTATGGGAGGGTAAGATAGTTTGACGAATACGACCCGCTGGTCATGACATAGATAATGTCACATTTCCAACACGTACGTAGTAAAACCCTTTTCGCCAGATTTGTGGTGCATACCCACAGATCTACCCAGGAAACAGACGTGGGTAATCTTAACGTGTGAGCATTAAGAGAAAGCAGACATGGGCAGCACTGACCTGATGAATGCAAAGAATGAATGTCGGGGTCCCAGTAGGAATCGAACCTCAGCATTTTGCGGGGAAATCAAATATTATTCCGCAGAGCCATGCCAGATTTTGGAACTTCTTTCCAAATAGACCCTAACATTCATGAAACATCACTTGTGGTTGCAGAGCCAGCTATCCAATTTTATAAGCTTTCTTGACACAGCTGTCATGCTGAATTAATGTCAACTGTATTTAGGGGCCATCTGCTCAAATTGACTTGTGTGTCCAGAGCTACCATCCTCGTGAGCACCAGCACTTCATATGAGCTTACCACTTCTGGTGTTGGTAATATCCGTTGTGCTGTTCACAATGTTACGCATCTGTAAACAATTGGTTATATACGACATATGCGGCTGTTTAACGTATGTCCCAATAAAAATTTGCAACACAGTCACCATTCATTTGCATGCTTCACATAACATTGATTCCAGATGTACAGTGTCAATTTTTATGAAAGGGAAGACAGCGACACGTGGCCTGCGTGCTTCAGCGGCTGCTGGCAGCGCGTTCAAGTGGGAGCGAGAGCAACCACAGTCTCTTTTCACGTCATCTTGCGGCGAGCAAAAAACCATTTGTTACTGATATAGAACGGCAAGATTGCAAATGCTCCCCCTTCAAGGCGATTACCGGCTCTCACGTAATCGCCTTGAAGGGGGAGGGGGTCGCAATCTTGCCGCTGGTTCAATATCAGCAACGAATTGTTGTTTTCCTCGCCGCGAGATGATGCGAAAAGAGACTGTAGTTGCCCTCGCGCCCGCTTGGACGCGCTGCCGGCAGCCGCCAGAGCGCGCAAGCCACGTGTTCCAGTGTTCCCTTTCATAAAAATTGACCCTGTACATGGAACCAGCCAAACATTTAATATTGCATACTAATTGCTTACTAAAGCATACTGTTGCATTGCATACATATTGCATACTAAAAAACCTTTGTGAGCCCTTCAGAAATGGCCGCATGGTTTGACACAATACCCAAAGATTATTTGCTCTATCATGCCAACTGGGAATATATCTTGCCATGAAAGAAGCCCAAATCAATTAAAGGGTTTGAAAAACACCATTCTGTCTGTTGTAAGGCTCCATTCGCTTCCAGCATGTTTTAGAACACCAACTTTCTGCGCGTAAGTGCCAAGCCAAGGGACAATGATGAGCGTACCATAACCACAAACTTTTTCTAGTTGGTGTAATGTTAGCATAGAATGACAGCACGAGAAGTATTTCATGCGATTGGGGCTCTATTTGCAGATAGTGAATTTTAGAATAGTCATAAATGTAGCCAGACTTCAGAGTGTATGCTCATGGTTACTTGCATCAATATTTTTATGACTGTATGCTCAGATTACTTTGCAAATTGTGCTTAGAGTAGTATTTAAGAAGTGCTGACATATTATTTACTTTTAGTATTAATACAATAGGGATAAACAGCCCATTTCACAGAAATTCTAGCGTCAGCATTGTTATGGTGAGTGAAAAGTCACTACCTCGTCCTCGACCGAAAAAGTGAGAAAGATGCAAATAAAAGAAATAATGAACATTTCTAGGTCCGAATGAGGATCGAACTCAAACTGTTCGCTTGACAAGCAAGTGTTCTATCACACAGCCACACATCTGCTTGGAACTACAGGGAAAAGAACTTTCTCTGCTTGGAAATGCAGTGAAAATAACGTCTATACTTTGCAAACACCCGCGTCCTGTGTACAGGTTTCACAATACGTGCAAAATTATAGCAATATTACATAGTATAAGCACACATCGCTATCAGGTGTTGGAACATGTGATTATCATAATGACTTCATGGTCTAAAGCTGGCCACCTTTTACAAACGGCATACAAGCTACTGTGCCTCTTTCCCTAAGACAACATAGTGGGTGCATAGCAAGTCCGTAAAGATGTCAGGCACACAATTGCTCAAGGTTTAAAAGCATGCCGCCCATCATACAGAATGCAGCTATATGCAAAAGCTTCACTGACACAAGCCACTTTCAACCATGTCGATTACATTGTAGTAATCCGCAATTTGAACCTCGTGTAACATCGTACAATAAAAAGGATAAGCTAAGCGGTTGAAGTAAACACTACGGATATGATGTTGCTGTCGCATTTAACTCTGAAAGGAGAAGCTTAAGGGCCCCCAAATATTTTGCTTCAAGTAAAGATACAAGCCCCTTGTACTACAAGTATATACTAGCAAGCATGAGTGACACAAGTTTACTGTATTACTTCACTCTAAAGACTAACTGCTTTTGACATCAAGGAGATAGAGATGCCACGATCTCATTCTACACTGGTTTGTTTTGGATTTTTCTAAACTGCTTGTTTTGTCGTCACAATAAAGTTTCAAGGCAATCGCAATGTGCTGTCCACCGACAGCTTCACACATTTATTAATTCTCAAACCACTTTGTTTTACGCACTGAAGGAGTTTGCTTTGAGTGCACCTTCTTATGTTTGTCAAGCATTGTGCTGAAACTGTCCTTCTCAGTCCGCATATTCTTGACAAATGTTTTGGGTTTTTGCTGAAGCTTTTTCTTGCCTTTTTTGTTCTTGAGCTGCAATTTTTGCTTGCCAGCGCGGCCCTTCTTAGTTCGCACCTTTGGTCCGGAATGTGTTGGTAAACCCTTCATCTTTTTGTTTGCAGCTGCACCCATAAAGGCTGCCTTCTTTTCCAGAGGAACCTCCACTAGCTTCTGCTCGTCACTATGACTATCATGTAGCTCTTTTAGCTTTTGCTTGCTTCTCTGTAACCTTCGTTCCTTGGCTAAGAGTGCTGCCTTATTTTCCAGGCAAAATTCAATGATTGGTCTTTTCTTCGGCCCAAAAGTGCCAGGATTGTTGTTGAGTTCCCGCAGTGCTGCCAGTGCATCTTCGTGCTTAGTAAAAGTGACGAAACCATAACCGTAGGACTCGGCTGTTGGAGACTTGAGGTTCCGCATGACGCGTGCCTCCGTGATGCGAGCCCCATGCGGTGCATTCTCCAAGAACAACGCCCGCAATTTGCGATCGTCTACGGAAGGTGGTAGATTGTGCACACTGAGCCGTGTGGGTGACACAAAGTAATGGAGATTAGCTAGTAGCTTGCACTTGCGTGCCTGAAGTTTGGCCCGCTTAGTCATGTCTTGTGGCGAGACGCCTTGTGCAGCCTCAGTGCCTGGCCTGACCAGCCCCTCTCGCGCCAGATAGAGGTTTCGGCGGTCCTTCTTTTGCTTTTTCTTCTCCTTCTGTTTCTCCTCCAGCTCGTCCCGGTTGAGAGCACGGACCACGTCGAGCCGCCGGCCGTCTAGCATAATGCCCGGAGAGGAAGCAGCTGCTTCAAGACATGCGTCTACGCTTGATTCTTGGGCAAAGCGGACGAATGCAGTGCCCCTAGAACGACCGGTGTCCATATCTGTGCACAGAAGGCAATACCGACAGGGTCCAAACTGTTTCATCAAGGTTTCAAGATCGCCTTGCTGGCTGTCGAACGACAAGTTTCGAATGAACACCGTGTTCTTCGTGTCGCCTTTCGAGTGCCGATCAGGTTTGACGTCTGCGCTGCAGTCACTCTCATCATCGCCATCGTCTTCGTCCATGTCTGAGAAGCTGTGCTCGGTGTTATCAGATTCCGACGCTCCGGACGAGTGTTTTTCAGCGTCGTCCGACATGTCTTCACTCTCCTCATGCGGCGAAGCTGGGCCTCCCCCTTCATCGGCAAGTTTAGTCGTAGCACTATTCATAGCAGTCACGTTTTGCTGGTACGTTGCCTTGGGGAGAGAGAAATCTACCGCGATCGGTCGTCCCAACACTTCGGTCGCATTCAAGCCGTTAATTGCTTTGATGGCACTTTTGGTCTCGTTGAACTGTACAAACGCAAAACCACGCATTTTACCATCTGGCTTCTTCGGGATGGTCACTTCAACGACACTTCCGTACTTCGAGAAGCAATCACGCAGAGTTTTCTCGGTTGCTTTGAACGAGAGGTTGCGGACGATCAGTCTCGGCTTCCTCTTCTTTCTAGCTGCTTTCTCCTCCTTCGTGAACGCCCTCTTCTTCGGAGTCGCAACTTCGCCCATAGGTTCGCGCGGCGCCTTGGGAGTAGCAGATTTCACTGCCAGAATACGGTCGCCCCACTTCAAATTTCGTTGTCGACTCCGTTCCACGGCAGCCTCTGCATCGGCTGTGCTGGCGTACGTAACATACGCGACGCCCTTGCACTGCGACTGTTGCGACTTGTCACGCACAATGAAACATCGCTTAACGGGTCCAATATCGGCAAACAATTCTTCGAGCTTGCTTTCCTTCGCGTCTGGTGGCAGATTTTTCACGAGAAGCGTGTTCACGCCAGAGTTGGAGGCCGCCATTTTGTATGGTTTCGGTAAGTACCTTGAATTGGATTCAAACGGATTTGTATTTGGGTCGTAGCCGAAATTTGAGGCGCTTTTTTTTTTTTTTGAGAGCCAAATGCACTTTAAAAACGCAATGTTTTCTACTGACAATATGGATGGGCCTGCTGGAACAACTTTTTGCCAGTATGTTCCCCTCGCCTAAATACTACAAATCTGTGGCTAATATCGTCAGCATAGACTTTCATAAAATAATTGTATGAAACCTCCTTGCTCCGTGTATGAAACTATGATCGTCAGTATTGTGGAATAAAGTTTGTATTTGGCTCATATAGATTGAAAAATTTCATTTGGACATGAATTAGCTCGTGAAATAGGCGTAAAACGGTTGAAATGTGCAGTATATCAACATTTTGAGATTGATTTGACATCATATTTGTGCTTCCGTCGCTGCCGTGCGTCGACGAATGGCCATGCGTCGACCATACTTGAAGAGTGAACGAGTGGCCTTGCCTGGCAAAGGGGGCACTATCCGGACTGTCATCAGTGTTTTCCTGTTCCTGACATCAATGGAGGCATTGAAAAGTGTTCCAGATACAAGTCAGCCTCTTACTCTTTACAATCGCGTTTTGTCATTAAACATAAAATCTCTCACTAAGTGCCAACTCACGCTAGAAAACCTAATTGTGGAACGTAAACACGATAACAAAGCAACCAAGACACAAATGAAACTTAAACGTGTAGCAGCTTGGACTAGTTGGTATGGCATGACGATAGGTATAGCGCGAGAACAAAATGACGACACAGAGACAAGAAGGACACGAAGGACACCTTCTTGTCTCTGTGTCGTCGTTTTGTTCTCGCGCTATAACTATCGACAAATGAAACATTTTGGGTGGGTCCATGTTGGTTGTTTCGATCATGTTTGTTGGCGTAGTGCTGGTTTAATGAATGTTGCTCACTTTGATTGAAACAGTTGGAGTACAATTGGCTCACTTTTGATTAGAAACTGCCTTTTCAATCTTATGTTACAATAAGGAATGACCCCATCTAGATTTTAACTGTTCTAGAAATGTAATATACTTAGGCATGCTTTATATTCCACTAAAATTTAGCCTAGTTTCGGTTTCCGCATTTGGCTCTTTTAGAAAAAAAAAAAAAAAAAAAAACGCCTCATATGGTTATGTGGTTATGGTCATGCTCGTCATGCTAATAGTGCACTAGAATTACATTAGACTGGGACAGTGTGCCGTCTTTGCAGCAAACTACAGTGTACTAGAAGATTCTAGTACATTGTACAGCGAACCAATGGGAAAGTGGTGGGCGCTTTTGCAATGACTCCTAGATCAACGCCTCAAAGATGCCTGCGACATCGCCAAGGAGCATTCCTTGGTAACTGTACCATATAGAGTTACCATATATGATACCATATACAGGTGCTTTAATAATGACGCCACCAGCAGAGTGCCACCATCGAACGATGCGCCCAGCACGCGTAATTTGAATTTACATTGAAAAACGATTTGCAGTGTTTGGGTAAAATAGTCACATCACACGATTGAAACTAAAAGTATCTGCAATATTAAAACACACCCAAGACATTTATGTGCATTACTAATATAAAGCAAGCTGCTCCTGCGTCGTATGAGCTTATTATACAATTCCTATTAGAGAACAGGGGCCCAGATAGTCTGCTTACTTACTGTTTTAACTGCAGAAGTGATAAAAAAAAAGCCCACATATCCACGAAGTGAATGATGATGAATGCGCTTCCTCAAGCGGTGAAATCCTGTAAACCGTGAATCCTCTGTACATATGCTCAATCATCATCATATATAGATGGGACACGAGAGTTGCGGTGTGATTGTATATACATATATATACACAATGTTTCTTTTTGTTTTTGAAGAGCCGCGCCACACGTCCTAGTACCAGCCCAGAAGCATAACATCCGCTGTCTTGGACAGCCATTCCCCTACGCATACGTCGTCTCGTCGCCATTTGATGGTGGGCAGTACCAGTTATATGCACAGCGCGCGACTCGTCATCTGTGTAGAACACACATTGGGCTGTCGGCAGACGCGCCATTGTCAGCACTCAAGAAGCTGAACCGCGCGTGCCTGGAGCGGCGTCGACCATGGCGTTCACACCGCTTCTTCACACACCAACATTTCAAACGCGCGTCTTTTCGCAATCATCGTTGTCCTCGCCCACTGCGTGGAGCTGGTACATCACCACCTAAATACTCTAGTCTAGGTGGTGTTGGCCGGTATGGAGCCTCGCAGGCGTTCTCAGGCCTCGCCCGCTGTGCTCAGGTGATCGAGCGCGTCGCCTGTAGGGATCCTTCATGTGCGCGCACATGAAGGCTCCTTAGGCTTTAGTCGCCTGTAAAGCTACTGTATATGCGGCCTTTAGGTAGCAGAGTTGCGCATACCTTTTCATTCCGCCGCTATTTGGCGAGTGCTGTTACGTGGTGCAAATTGACGTCAAATGTGCGATTTGAGGTGGCGAAGCCATCTTCATGAGCCCCTAATGGCGGTCACGATGAGACTGAAGGCGGCGAAGCCGACTTGTCTCATCGTGACCGCCATTAGGGGCTCATCTTGGTTGAACAGTGCACACGAGACGACGACCAAGTAAAATGACACAGGCAGGCGCTGACTCGCAACTAACATTTATTTGGGAAAGAACAGCTGATATGTAGGTGAAGTGCAACTTAACAGAAAATGCAAAAATAAACAAACAGCATTCAAACACGCCGCAAGCAAGGAAAAAAAATGCACATTGGTATCATCTTCTGCACGTGCTGGAAAGATAGATAAATTTTGCGTTGCTCAGCGCAATTGGCGGCATGCTGACACACTCATCATTTTTCCTTCGGATGTGGAAGGCTTCAACCAATTCCCTTGCTAACTGTTTTTTTTTTATGATGTGATGGTATCATTGCATCGTTGAAGAAGGGTACGCAGTCACATTCATGGCAATGAGCGAAAAGGGAGTACGGTTTTGACTCTGATAATGAGCGTTCGTGTTCCTGAAGGTGAACGTTGATGCACCTTCCGCTTTGGCCACGATAAGTGGCCAAAGCTAAGCCTCAGCGCTGAAGGTAAGCCGTGCGTCGTAATAAAAAAAAATTGCCCGCAGCTTCCCTCGGGGGAACACTGAGGAGGATGCGGAGCATATAATTGGTTAACGGGGTGTTAAAGTGCGACTTACTTGGGTCGATGGCTAAATTGGTTAACGTGGTTGTGAAATGGGGTGTTAAATTGCGACTTACTTGGGTCGATGGCTAAATTGGTTAACGTGGTTGTAGGAGGGGGTGTTAAATGAGTGAACACGTACACACGTATGCGAAAGGGCGGCGCTGGTCGAAGGGACGTCGATCATTGTGTTTGTGGATTCGTTGGAATTCCTTTCACCGCGACCTGGACGTCGACGCGCCGTACAAACCAACCGACGAGCGGCAACTGAGCGAGCGAGCGCCGACCTTGAGTATATATACAGCACGACGGCGCATGCACTGTCAGCTGTTGAATGTTCTCGAAGCGCGACGCCACATGCGCGTCCACTGGAGAATCAGGAGAATTGTAGATGTCGAACGCGGTGTGTAGAGGAGGAAGGGTGCACAGATGTTGGAGGAGTGAAGCGCGCGCGGTGTGTAGAGGAGGAAGGGATGCACAGATGGTGGAAGAGTGGGCGACGGCGCGACGGCGCATGCGCGCGCGTCAGCTGTCGAATGTTCGAGAAGCGGTGCGGACGGCGCGGACGGCGCACTACAAGGCGCGAGTATAAGATGCTTCCGCATCTAAAAAGTAAAGGGCTCGAGGTTTAATACCGAAACTAGCCCGTCTTTCCGCATTATTCCTCAAAGTTAGGGCATGCTCTGACGAGCATACGTAATTTCTGGTCTCCTTGTCATCCCCTTTTCCGCCTCCCGCGTAGCTTTCAACGCGCTTGCTGCCCCGCCGCGGTGGTCTAGTGGCTAAGGTACTCGGCTGCTGACCCGCAGGTCGCGGGTTCGAATCCCGGCTGTGGCGGCTGCATTTCCGATGGAGGTGGAAATGTTGTAGGCCCGTGTGCTCAGATTTGGGTGCACGTTAAAGAACCCCAGGTGGTCGAAATTTCCGGAGCCCTCCACTACGGCGTCTCTCATAATCATATGGTGGTTTTGGGACGTTAAACCCCACAAATCAATCAATTCAACGCGCTTGCTGAAAACAAAGTTCTTAGAGCATGCGAGAAATCCCTGCATCTGCGCTCACACTTTACGAATTCCAAAAAAAAAAGTTTTTGTGACACTTTATTCGTGAGGCGATAAACTAATTTAAGGAAGCTACTGGGGCAAAGAGTTGCGGGGCCTTTTTAGGGTCTATTTTATTCTATCAGAGGCTGCAAGCCTTGGCGGTGACCTGGTTTCTTGTCTACATTCGCACGTACTGCGGCAGCAGGATCAGCAAACAGTCTCCGGTTGTTGCTGGTGCCCTGAGTGACCAAGTTGCGTGCCCTCCCGCAGCCCTGATGCCATGCCCCGGACAGCTCAGCCCGTCCAGCGATGGCGCTAGACGCGCTCGCTGGCCACCCGAACAACGCCGTGTTGCTGTGCCACCGGCGGCATCGAGGTAGGGACCACCTTGCCCCCACCCTGGAAACAGTTAGGCGTTACGGCCAGAAGAGTCCGCATCGCCAGTCCGGAACAACTTCCAAGACTGGAAACTGCTGCAAAAAGCGGTTACGTTTCAAAGGTACGATACTCACGACTACTGCGCTAATCACAATGGCGAAACAACGGAGATGCTGGCGAGTTCGTAAAAATGGAGCTTTATTTGCCACTTTCACGCAGTTTCCCGTACGTTCGTTTTCTTCTCTCTGAATAAAGCAGAAGTTCAGGGAAACATGGACGCTTGGAGAGGTAAAAAGTCCTTGCAAACGAAGGGGGCGGGGGTCTCTGGAGCCGAAGTTTCAGCGAGTGTTCACTTCATAGCAGCATTTGCCTATGCCTTAGCACGTCTGTGTGTAGTTT